TAGAATTATTTAACTAGCTAAGTACAATTTAAGTCATGGCCATTCCCATGTTTCTTTTATGACTAAATTGTTAATCCGGATGCAAATACACTATACTATCTTTACAGTAAAGATTACCCTCTCAGATTACAAAACATAGGTAGGTAGATGAAGCGCGCCGAACACGAAAGTGAAGCCACCAAAGCAAATACAAATTCAAAAGCGAATACAAACTCGCGTCAGTACTAAGCAGTGTTGGCACATTTTCGATTTTTCGCCATTTAGGTAGCCTAAACGGTGATTGTAATAAATATTTTGAATTATCAACGGTTTTCAATTTTAAAATATCTTAATAAAATATTTTTTCCTTTGTATGATGTAAATCAAATAATAACAATTACATATTAACTTGTATTTTTTACATATTAACTTACTGTTTGATATCCTAATACCACTTAAGTATCATATAGCAAAATAACATTTCCAGTCTGTAACATTAGTATTATAGAAAGCAACAGAAATAATGCGGGAGATTTTTCGCTGCATCTGGCAATCTTAAAGGCCCATTTACATGGAGAGAGTTGCTCGTCTCGAAGATACGATTATCGAAAGAATATAAAAAACTTTCCTCGTCTAAACATTCGCGATTATTGGCCGTCCACGTGAGCGATAATCGCCTCGCCTTTCAATATTGAACGTCTCCGTGTAAACAGAACTCGAAAGCAAAAATCGTATTTCGAGTTTCTGTGCCAGCCGTTTCTACCACAAGTGCAGTGCGCGAGGGTGTTTTGATTATCACTGCTTTTCTAAGAAAAGAATTAATGAAACGAGAACGAAAAAAAAATTTGGATTAAGAAATGTTATAAAATTTGAAAAAAAAAAAATGTATATTTCTCTACAATGCAATGAACTTAATATTATCAGCAGTTCCAAATTTGAATGATTTGTGCGTCATTTCGGTATATCCACAGTCAATACCACAGTAATCACTGAACTCGAATGGCAATTCTCGCACTCAAAACGGTTCGAACCGATTTGTACGATAATCGTATGAACTTGAAGAAATGTCATACAAGTGTCGTGTTTAGACAAGTCGAAAACTCGTAAGCAAGAATCTCCTTACTACATATTTCTCTGTGTAAACAGTCGAGGAGGCGATTAAGTTGCTTGCGAATCGCATATGACATAATCGTAGGCGAGATTTTAGTTCTTGCCTGAATGTAAACATTATGATACGATAATCTTATGGCGATTATTGCTTACGATAATCGCCTACGAGTTTTCGTCACGAAGCGTGCGAGAAACGCTCTTTCTTTCTCTCGATTTTTGCTTTCAAGTTCTGTTTACACGGAGACGTTCAACATGCAAAGGCGAGGCGATTATCGCTCACGTGGAATATCGCGAATGATAATCGCGAATGTTTAGACGAGGAAAGTTTTTTTATATTCTTTCGATAATCGCATCTTCGAGACGAGAAACTCTCTCCATCTAAATGTGCCTTTACACGCACATAAATGGGCATGTCCCCACATCACACACAACAAATGAAAAGCGGCTTCACATCGTTTGTTACGTATGCTCCATCTGCCTATGTTTTGTAATCTGAGGTAGGTACTACTTATTAATTATTATTGTACAAAATCAAGTGATAATTTTTATTTCTACAATAACGAGAAGATATTTAAAGATTGACTATTTTTAAAACCGATGTATTAAATATTCGTTTTATCCGTTTTATTCGTACAAAAGATTTTATATTTGGTATTCGAATTATCCGAATACCAAAAATGGGCGAATATTGCAAGTCCTAATCATTAAGTAAAAAGACCGTAAGTACCTCCAATAAGTAAAAAGAAGAAGTGTTCTAAACAAAAATGAAAACTATTTAGAACCAGCTCAAAAGATATCCTAGCGTCAGCGATGCGCTAAAATGAATAATATAAAAAAAAACATGTTTATGAGTACAAATTAAATGTAATTTTAATATTTTGTTTTAAACTTTACATGTGTGGTCTGCACAGTTTTAATTGCATTGAACACTTGCAAAGTTCAAGTCACTTCAGCTTTTATGTATTTACATACTTAAAAAAAATATTTGTTTAACAAATGGATAGATATTGTTAGATTGTTACAAACACGGAAATGGACGTCCTTGTTTGCTAATCTGATTATCACACAAGTGACGTCAATCATTTAATCGTTATAATATAAAAAATAACACTTTTTTAAGTTACATAATGTACGTATACCTATGTATATCACGCTGAGCTGATTGGAATTGACTTTCGACGCGTTTTATCGTAAGAATGGTTCATACGCCAGTGTCCGGTCGTTGCGAATATCAGCATCCGCACTGATCGATCGATGCTGATATTCATTGCGGATATTCTAACAATAACAACAATCAAGTCGCGTTGTGACATAACTTAAAGGGGTCGGGATTACGGCACGCTGGAATAATTAACCATCCAGAAACAGACTGCAAGCCGAAACATCTCAGCTGTCTTTCTTACCTTTGATAAAATGGTTAAGCTAGGCATTGATTGATTTCATGCAAGTTGATTAATAAATGTTTGGTAAATAAATGAAAAAATTATAAAAAAAAAAAATTAAAAACGCCTTTACATGTAAATTCAATAAGGATGTGTACATTTTTCACGATTTTTTTAGATAGATAAAAAAGCATTCACATCAGAATCTGCTGATGTAAAGGTAAAAAAATCAGCATCCGCATTCGCTGACGTGTAAAAAACTTGCATCGGCAGCAACCCTGCGTAAACTAAAGTGTAAGGGCGCGTTCCCACTATGTCGTCACGTTTTATTATCGTTGGACGGCTGTCGTGTCTAGCCTGTTCCCATATTACGACTATCTGACGTGGACGACTTTTTATCGTTGAACGACTGTCGTGACTAGCTGTTCCCACTAGATCGTGACGGCAATTTATCGTTTCACGACAGCCTCCTTGCCCATCTCTGGCTACGACCCAACGCTACTGCCAAGCGAGCAGAGGGCGCGAGGTACGAGAGGAGAGGGCAGGGAGCAGAATACGTGCGAACAGCGATAAAAAAAACGTGACGACAATAGGAGATGCGACAATCTGTGGACACGTATTGATCGTGACTTTTTTTATCGTCAGACGACTGTCGTTCTAGCTGTTTCCACTGTGACGACAGTTTGTCGTTGTAACGATAAAAAATCGTAAACGACAGTTAATCGTGTCGTGCTATATGTAAACAACTTAATTTAAATATACAAACCACGACACTGTAAACTGCACGACAATCTGTCGTCACGACATGGTGGGAACGGGCCCTAAAGCACTATGTGCTGTTATAAGTCATCACTTCCCAGATCAATTATCGTAACTGGCAAAAGGCAAATATTTCAGAGTAATGTATATCCTGTTCAGCATTTTACATTTTGAACTGTAGTTCATGTCCATTTCTGGGCCCAGTAGGGAGGATATGATAATTTGGAGGAATTATATTAATAAAAGCTTGAAGCTTTGATAAGCTTCTATATTTAACGAAACTGCCTCTGTGGCCGAACGGTTACCATACCGGACTGCCACGCAGAGGTCCCCGGGTTCGATTCCCGGGCCGGGAGAAATATTTGTATGGCCTACATTTATTTCTCTCGTGAGTTTGGGTGTAATTTGTGGTTGTCTATGTGTGTGTCCATGGCACCCGCGACACAGGGTTTCCCTAGTGTGGGGCTATGTTGAGTGTGTGCGTTATTATTTCCTAGTTATTATAATAAGTAGCTATCACATTTACATTGTAATGAAATCTTTTTCAATAGAACATTAATTAGATATCCAATGTAATACATATATTAATAAGATAGGTAGACATGCCCCAAAATTGTATCATCAAAAAAACCGACCTCAAAAGTACGTGGAATTACGTCTATTTGCTAAGTTTTATTCAAATATCCCCTAGTTCGCCACTATACAGGACCTGACACTGGAGATAATAAAAATCGGTTCTCACTACTCAAAGTATATTGAGAGAAAAACGCCTTGAATTGGAGAAATAGCAAAATCAGCCATTAAAATAATGGCTCCTAAATTAAAGTTTAGGCGCTATTTATAAAAATGAATCTTCATGCGTGTACAGCCACCCTTAGAGGTGGATGATTTTCTTCAAAATGAAATGGGACAACTATGAAAGTACCCCCTTTCCAACAAAAAAGAATCATGAAAATCGGTTCACAAATACCGGAGTTATCGCGTAACATACATACGAAAAAAAAAAGAACATACAGTCCAATTGAGAACCTCCTCCTTTTTTAAAGTCGGTTAAGAACATGTGTTTATTCCCAGATTTTTTTTGTTTAAGGGCCATTTTTGTATAATAAATTAAACGCCAAATTGGCTTATATCACTTTTTTACATAAATGTTAACAAGCAAAATAGGTCCTTTGTCGTCGATTTACGTACACCAGCCCGTTGCACCATGGTTAAGAAAATTCTCCAAGAATTTTTTCAAAATATGTCCTATACAGAATTTATTAATTATCCCTAATATTGTTTAATTTAAGCGTATAGGTATAAGATTTGCATTTTATTGTTTGATTATTCTTTTGTTTATAATTTAATAATATATCCAGCTGTATAACGAGTAACTTTTACCTGTTTCTACTAGTTCAGGTATATGTGTGATATTTTACATTGGTTTGCATAATAGGCCTTTAGTTATTCTTTTGTACCATAAGTTATTTAATAAACAATTTTTTATTATTATTATTTTTAACATTATATATTAATTTTTGATAACTTAAATATTATGTATTTATGATATTTATTTGTATCAAAAAAATAGTATGGTTTATGTAGTTTACATTTCATGTATAATATTTTCAAATAGTTTTCTTTAGTAAAATTACAGCTTTAACATTGTTTTAATTGTTCTGGTAAGTTTATTATACATTTTTATGGTTATTGCTAGTGTGCAGAATGTAGTTTGAGTCGAGTTTGTTCGGCATGTTGAGTTTTAGTGTGTAATAAAATCATAATTACCAGGAGAATATGTTATATTAAGAGTAGACAGCACTCCACCGCAGTAAAACACAGCCAATGAAGCAACGGTGAACTCAAACCGATTCTCGCTGCTAAGTGAAACTAGGTCTCCTTTCTTCAATCCTAGCTTCTGGAGTGAAGCAGCTAAGTTGACACTGTTTTGAAGAACTGTTCTGTATGTCACCTGTTCGCCTGTTTCAGCGTCAACCTAAAAAGTATTAAACAACATTCTACTTCTTTTGAATGCTTATAATAAATTCCACAACATTTCCAATGAAAAAAAAAATTGGCAATTATTTCTGCATAGATTAGATGAAACCTGTGGTAGAGGTGAACTCCAAAATTTCATGATGTTTTCGATATTGAATCTCTTTGCATTGTATATTTCTGAAGAGCTGATTAATTTCTCTTTTTTGCTTCCTCTAATGCTAATCAAGGTGTTCCCTAGGAAGTGTATTATCTTTCTCATATTACTAATTAGCTACCAGACCACTGTCTTCTCAGTACATCATCAATCAAAATTATTGTTATAGTGTTTGTATATTGATTAAGAAATAGGGAAAATAATTATAATTTTCTGGAACATTCAATATCCTTCAACTCATGCATTTTCTGTCTATTTCTTGCAGATTTTTCAAGGCTACAAATAATACTATACCGTAGGTTTTACGAGCTCAAAAACACACCCATGTTGTATGTATGTATAATAGATAAAAAAGAAATAGGTTTTTATGGAAAAACTCTTACTTGAGCGACCTTTCCACCTCCGTTTTTGAACTGATCAAACATAAACTGCCCAAAATGCAAATGGGCGGGAATCTTCTCTTCTTCAGGGCCCGACACCACATTATCGTAAACCGTAATCACCGGCATGTTTTATTAAATATAGAAAGAAACAAAAGAAATATATAAAGCAACTTTAAATTAATTAAATAAAACCTTTTTTGCATCAAAAACTTAAGCCATACAACTTTATCGCTAAGGTTACGTTGGCAAGATTAATAAAATATTTTTATTCATTAGGAGTACTTCATTTACAATGACTTTGATAACGCGATAAAATTTGGCGATAATTGTATCTATGTATCGATATTTGCCGACATCATTAAATATTAATTAAAAAAAATTTTGCCGCCACATGCGGATCACATCACACCACCACCACACTTGCACCCAGTACCAACCAATGCGTTAGCATATAATAATCTGTGAGTAGAGTAGGATTTTCATTATGGTACATAGTTGTCTATGAGTAGGACCACAAACCAAGTAAGTACGACTGACCCACAATACATAACTTGCAGTGAGAGTCCGTTTCGTTTTCTTAAAATGTCGTTTCTTTAGTAACCGTTTCTGCAATTTACATGAAAGCGTTTCTTCGTTACATTGAAAGAAAGTATTTCTTGAAACGCTTTCTGAAAATAAATATTAACGCTCAGTCGCATCGTAGGATCGCATTCTAGAACTCTACTCAATGCTCAAGTCCTGCTGCTGACCTGTACTCAATGCTCAAGTCAGGATTTGAGCAGACTTGAGTATGATTTCAAGCACTGGAAAATGGCATTGGCAAGGACTTGAGTATAATTTCTAGTGCTTTAAATCATACTCAAATCCTGACTTGAGCATTGAGTAAAGTTCTGGAATACCACTCTGAAGTCATTGCCATTAGGGTCGTATTTCCAGTGCTTTAAATCATACTCAAGTCCTGACTTGAGCATTGAGTAGAGTTCTGGAATACGACCCATACACGATACGGAAACACTAGTACTTGAGCCGACCATAGAAGATCATCCTCATGATCCATTTTATTCAGAACCTAAATATCAAACTTACGTACTGGGTTTGGAGGTCTTATTTAATTAGACGTCACGAGGCCCATGGCGTTTGACACAAAAACAAATAAAAAATGAAATATGTCTAACAATTAATAAAGAATCTGCATCTCTTGGAATGAAATTATCTAAATTATTTAAAATGCATAATAAATTGACGTGTTAAGACGTGCTCTTGGCCCTGTACTCACACAGTGCAATTCAGTGCATACATTGAATGATATTATTCCTATTTTTAACCGACTTATAAGAAAAAGGAGGAGGTTCCCAATGCGACTGTTTTTTTTGTATGTATGTTACGCGATAACTCCGGTATTTGTGAACCGATTTTCATGATTCTTTTTTTGTTAGAGAGAGGGTACCTCCATAGTGGTCCCGTTTCATTTTGACGAAAATTATCCATCTCTATGGGTGGCTGATCACGCATAAACATTCATTTTTTTAAATAGCGCCAAAATTTTACTTATCGAGCAATTATTTTTATGGTTGGTTTTGCTATTCTCCAATTAAAGGCGTTTCTCTCTCTCAATATACTTTGAGTAGTGAGACCCGATTTTTATTATCTCCTGTGTCAAATCCTGTATAGTGGCGAACTAAAGGATATTTCAATGAAACTTGGCAAATAGATGTAATTCCACGTACTTTTGAGGTCGGTTTTATTAGTTCTCTGTACTGAGATTATATTATTCATTTTATTTAGTCGAAAAATGAGACTTGCGCGCAATACTGTGGGCTGTGGCACCTCGTATCGTATTTGTATTTTTAATCTTGAAAATTTCAGCAGGCTTAGCATGAGCCCAAAGACAAAAGTTATCTCTTCTTGGAACTGTCATTGAAGAAGTGATAACTTTTGTCTTTGGGCTCATGCTAAGCCTGCAGGATGCACTTGAATCCAAAGTCATAAAACAAAGTTAAAAATAATTACTGTCAGTCTTGGCTGTATGGCGCATTGTGCCTTTTCCAATGAAAAAAAACAGTACCCTAAAAAAAATTTAAGTGAACATTGAGGTTATGGTGTTAAGAATTTTTAAAATACAGTGAAAGAAACGGAGGGAAATCACTGTTTCCAGAGTAAATATGTCTTCAAAACTACTATCTTTGAAAAATCTTCTTAAGCCTCTTAATCAAATTGTAAAACAAACACCGTTGCTCGAAAACAGTGCAGCGTCTAACTTTAAAACAAACTTTAGCACTTCACCCGTAGCCTGTGTGAACTTCTTTAACAAATGTAAGTTAATTTACCACTTTAATACGTCTTAACACGACTACGAACCAGACGATAAGAAACAGTACATAAATTTTTGAAATTTTGTTACAAATTGTTCTTAATAGATCTTTGCTTCTATGAATAAAATGAGTCCTAAATGTAATTCATTGGGTGTGTAATGAAAGATTTATCAACAAATAATCTTTTTTCACTTGGTATAACAACATTTGATATAATTTTTAAGGATATAATTACTCGTTGAATATAATCAATAAGAGGTACAACCACAAAAGGCAATTTCAATGTGTGTAATAAACCTTCAGTAAACATAAGAAGATATAATGATTAGGTAACATAATGAAGTAATGGTATAAATATTACCAGTAATTATACTGACAGATGTAAAACGAAATAATGTATTAATTTATTTAATACTAATGTATTAATTAAGAGCCCAAGTGAATAAATTAGTAAATGAAAGAATGAAGAATGTTTAATTGCATATCAAAAAACAATACACATCAACTCATGTCCATCAAAAATAACATTTTCATTCCAAATATAGGATACTGATTTCGCATCGAAATTTCGTTTGGCGTTTCGCCGACCGCTGCCGCGGCATGCTCGCTTCGCTCACTTATCTCGCGTACCGTTTTGGTCGCAGTTCTAACCTAACTTTATCTACGAGAAGTATTAGTTATATAATATTATTTCTATGTGTTTTCGAGAGTAATACTCCTCGCTGCGCTCGTCATTGCAACTAAAAAACACTGAGATTATATTTATAATACATAATACTCATAATACTAATACTTATATCTGAAATGTTTAAATAAAATGTACATTATGCCATCAGTATATTAGATTGAAAGTTGTTATAACAATAGTTAATTATGTCCAATGACCCTTATATCATGCAAGAATATGTGAAATGTCTGTATACCATAAATTAATTATATCCATTGAGCATTAATATATTAATATATATCTTATGAATTGCACCCATAATTAATTAACATCCCCTTTATCAATGTTCACATTACAGCTTTTGTTGCATTTATTATCTCTGGAAACTGAAATTTTTTATTTGTATCAGTTGTAGAATTTTCTGTTACCAAAATGTATTTACTGTTCTAGTGCCAGCTGAGAAGCTATGGAAATCCGTAACGTCAGTAAGTAATCCTGGCGCAAAAAAAGGTCGTGGTAAGGGCGCAGGACGGATCAGAATACGCGATCTTAATCGTGGTCAAGTTATTGGCGTCGGTAAAATCAATATGCTGTGGCCAGGGCTCTCTGCGCCAGTTATTAGAGGTCGTGAACTCCTGAAACAACAGAAATTACCTGATGATCCAGAACGGTGAGATTTTATTGGTATTATAGTTTGGTTTTCATACAAGGGCATTATCACTAGAGTATGTCACATTAATAGGATGATGAATTCTTCTTTATGGGTGCAAAAATATGTATAATACACATTTATATGATAAAATTTTAGAATGGAAAAACTAATCAAACTCAGAGATTCAATGACAAAGTTCAGAAGATTGAAACTCAGCCCCATTGAGAGAGGGTGGTCGGGCACTAAAATGCCCGGCCGCAGTATTGGTGCACCAGATCCTGTTGGAGAAGGCAAGTATTAAAACTCAATAAATTTTAGTTCAATTCACATTGTTTATCAAATAGTGAGGTACCCAATATGCAGGTTGTGCTGCTTGGCTGATATTTTAAATTGACCACTAAGGTGGCCAAAGCATCATGTCCACTCTGGTGCTCTATGTCTGTAGTGAAAACCAGTTGTTTATTCTAATGGCGTATTTCACTAATAGTAGTTTTTTTAACAAAATACTTTTCTTCTACAATGTTTGCTTCCATAAAAACTCTTCACCCTTTGGGGTAATAAGGCCACATCTACAAAATGAGAAGAGAAACCTCTCTCTACAAAATGAGAGAGGTTTAAGATTCCTGTAAATTAAATTAGTTAATAACTCTTTTATGCTCAATTAGTTAAACAGTTAGTTAGTAACATTTTTTATATGTTAAATTTTCCATGTAGTTTGTATTATTTTAATAATTTTGATGTGATAGAAGCCTTTTGGATGTATGATCACATGTGACAGACAGATAGACGGACGGACGGACGGACGGACGGGCGGATGGACGGACGGGCGGATGGACAGACGGACGGACGAACCGTTTTACAAAACATGACCCATGTAATATGCTTTCTTACAGATGAGTTTACTGGTTTTGACACAAAAGTATTGCAACTGAGGTCTTTACTCATTATGAAAGGCAGTCTCGGACGTACAAGGAACTATCAAGCCATGGTAAGGTTTTAATCTTGACGTCCTGTTAAGTTTATGTTTGTCATTATTTTGTCATACCACATGCTGAATTTTGACGTTAATGCATATAATGATCACTAGTATGAACATTGAGATACGAGCTTTGCAGCCTAAATTTTACAAGTGGGGAAAGCAATAACAAACATGTTGTGTAATTTTTTGCCACAACTTTTATAATTTCTTTTGTACTACACAGCAAAAGAGTATGTGGTAAAAACCCAACAAATTACATTGATTATACCTATGGAAATCTTTACAAGGTGGTGACTGGTAATGGGCAAGGTCTAGCTGGATTTGGTCTTGGAAAAGCTAAGGAGGCCACAGCAGCTTTAAGGAAGGCCAAGAACAGAGCTGGGCAGAAGCTGATGCACTTTGAAATCTACAATGATCACACAGGTATAAACTTATGTCCTTTACTTAAAAAGTAGTGAACAACAAACAAAAAATGTACTTACTTCAAAGGTTGTGGTAAATATCTTGTACCATAGTGGGTGTTGGCAGTCAAATTGTTAAAGTTTTCTAGCACCACATTTTATTGTATCAAACTTTAAAAGATTTAAATTAAATCCTAAAACAAATATGAGGAGAATGGTTTTGTTCGGAGAGTACTGTGCCTAAATCTCACTATTCCTTTCCAGTATTCCACGACTTCTTCACAGCATTTGGAAAGACAAAGTTATTTGTCCAGAAGAAGAATGAAGGCTTTGGTTTGAAGTGCCATAGGGCCATTAAAGAAATCTGTGTGGCACTAGGTATTAAAGACATAAGAGTCAAGTTAGAGGGATCTAATAATTTGCAACATATTGTTAAAGCATTTTTCATTGGGCTATTACAGCAGGTAGGTAACATTTGACAACTGATTGTGATAATACAAAAGCTGTGTTTAAAGTGATTTATCTATCTTTTATTACAGAGAACACATCAGCAACTAGCTGAAGAGAAGAAATTGCACTTAGTTGAATACAGAGCCGAAAATGCATATTATCCGAAAGTTGTTGCCAGTCCCAGTGTAGTTCGAACAAAAGACGAAATCCCGAAAGATGAAACTCTAGATTTCACTCAGTACGTGATGAACGACCGCGTGATATTAAAAAAGAAAAGATGGCCACGATTCTATGAATCCATGCCGCATTATCAACTTTACCTGAAAAAATATGAAAGGCACAGGAATCATAACAAAATACGTTTGAATTTAATGGTTGAACACGGTACTGTGAAGAGTTTTTTGACTGATAAATATCCTGAAGAAATAACTGAAGCTGAGGCCTAAATAGTTGTTTAGTGTACATGTTTAGCGTTATAATTAATTAAAATTATTTCGCGTTCTATTATACTCTGTTTTTTTAAGTATGAGTGTGATATACTTGTGATCAAACTAACCGAGTAAATGTGTAAGAAGCAAACGATCGATAATAATGTATAATAATAAATAAAAATACGAATAGTTTTAACCGAAGTAAAAAGGAGGTTATCAATTCGACTGTTTTTTTTATACGTATGTTACGCGATACCTCCGGTTTTGGTGAAACAATTTTGGTGATTCTTTTTTTTGTTGGAAAGAGGGTACCTCAGTTATTGGTCTCGTTTAAAGTTGATGAAAATGTTCCACCTCTAAGAGTGGCAAACTAGGGGATGAATCTACGGATATAAAAATAATACTTTCCGGTAACCAATTCCAATAAAACTTGGCAAATAGATGTAATTTTGAGGTCGATTTTTTTATAATTGTAGATCGACACGTGTCGATTGTCAAAAAATTGGGCAAATCTGTAGGAGTCTGTAGCTGAAAAAAAAAAACAAACTGGGTTTTAATTATTTATTTCAAATGGCTGATTTTTTCTATCAAAAAAGAGAATTGTTCAATAATTATCGTACTACTACAATAAAATGATACTAATGGAATAAAATCTTAATTATTACACTAATTATGCAAAATAAATGTTACACTACAAGTTTATGGTGTCAATTCTGTTAATTCCTGAATATGACAGTTCTGAAGTTATTTACTTACGTTATACTCTTCATTAATCTAAACGAGGTAACACTATGTTTAGACGTATCAAATTAGGTTTGAATTGTGCAAAGAATTAACACCGATATTTAACTAATTAACAAAAATAAAAGAAAATTGCTAATTAAAATAATAGAAAATATTCAAGTTACAGAAATCATATAATACATATTAATTATAAATTGTTTTAAAATTTAAAATAAATATAATTCTTTAAAACTGTACGTGAAAAGTAATGTAGAGAGAGTATTCAAACTACCCTCCGATAACCAATTATAAAATTGCATAACTCGATATAAGACCTCGATCAAAAATAGGACAACCAACATTAGTTTGGTTCTTGCATTATGAAACGGCAAAGATGCGACAATTTTTATATTTAATTTTTTTTACTCCTGGTAGGTACGTATTTAAACTATTACTATTGCTTGAATGAAGTTTTTATAAATTAAATGAAAAAATGAATGGTATAAAAAATGAATGCACCATACGTACAAAATGCATTTGTTTTCGTATATTCGGACGAGGCTTATAGTAGTAATTAAAAATACAACTTCCGCATCTTGTCATGGCACCCAATTATCCTTTCAATTGCTAAACATATTTACAATGTGACCACAGCGCACTTTGTATGAACAAATTAGTCATAACATAAAAAAACTTTTTATACCCAAAGAGATGTAAGGAAAATTACAAAAATTCTTGTAATCGGATGTTTTTTGTAACTTTGTTTAAACAAAGTGCATTGTTTACAATTATTTTACATATACCTTTATATATTTTTTACATATATGTGGCCTAAATGCTCTAAAATGCTATTTGCTACTACGTCAAGCACCATAGTCTTTACGAAATATTTCCAGTCTACAAATATACATTTTGTATGTTTTATTTTTAGTTAACAGTTGCAATGTAATGTTATATTCAACCTGTTGTGACGAGAAAGCAAGTATATATCCAGTATTTTCAAATTGCTTAAAAGTTGAACATTCGTGTTTATTCTGTCTCCTAATGTGTAGCCTAAACTAATTTGATACAATATTGTTGTTTCTTTGTAAGTTAATAAAGAGTGAAAAGGATGACAATATTTTTCGATAGGTGTGTCAAATTTAAGAATTTTACCGGTCATTCTTTGAGTTAAAAACGCGTGCGTTCCTCAATTTGGCGTTGGCGGGTTTACCGATATGGCATCGATGGGGTTGTAACATTATAAAGTAGAAGTACCGCACATAGTCATTTTTACTTGACCTTGGCGAATCATCGTTTGTTTCGATGGAGCCATAGCATTAAAAGAAGAAGACAGCATGCAATTGGCACATGCGTTTTAAATTACAGGCTTACCGCCATCGAGTACATAACGATGCCTACCGCTTAACTGAGTGGGTTCTTGAGGTAGCTGCGCGGTGCAGGAGGAGTGACAGTTTACGTAACAGTTACGTCGCGCTGCACACGGAATAATTTCAACAATATTTTTCTGACGATATTCAATAGCAAATTAATTGAAAAAAGTGCACATCAAATTAGCCAATTCTTGTTATGTAAAAGGGTAATGAAAAAATCTATTTCATTGAAAATTACAATTAAAAGATAAGCCATTTGGCACTTTTTTCAATCAACTTGTTATTGAATATAGTCAGAAAAATCTTGATGAAGTTATCCCGTGTGCATCGCGACATAACTGTTACGTAAACTGTCACTTGAGTTAAGCGGTAGGCCTGTAGCTGTATATAGGCTAACTAAAGGCAAACATGTAAAACGTATCATCTATAACAATAGTTTATTTTTTAAGGTTCTTCTTTGCGATGAGATTAACAGCTACACAATTACGAAAAATTATAAAGATTAGAAATAAATTGGCGATTTAAATGTACAGTTCTTATGTACATGTAAGTTATTGTCCAAACCTTAACCAATAAGTTTAAAAGGTGATTTAAGTTCTTTAAAAGTCATTGTGTTTAGATAAAGATAAGAATGGTTTAAGGGCTATTATGCTGTACAAAGCAACTGCTACTTTTTTGTTATTTGGGACTTCTTTTCACATTTCAATCATCAATATCACTACGTTCCTATCACTATTCAGAGGGTATTTTATACCGAGTAATATCCCGTATTTTTCAAGGAAACGTCAGAATAATTTCCTTATTTAACATGAACGATTACACTAATATCGAAACGTGGTAACAAAAAGGGGGTAGATTAAGTAATTTTTTCGTGTAAATTGTACTGCGAAACTATTAGGAATTCGTAAAGAACATGTGGTCGTTGAAAGAAACTCTGGTAAAAATTTAGAATCGGTTTGCAGGGTAAAATAGAAGAAAAACTCAAAACACAATGTTTGAGATGTAAAATCGGTCCTGTCCAACTAGCTAACCGTGTGTTATATCTGCTATCACTCACTCACAGATCACTAACAGTTCTTTTGAAAATTAAATCCGTAAACATGTTTTCAACAAATTCCTATACGTTTAGTATTATTCCTTTGAGTGGCCACGTGTTTAAATTGCGATATAAAAGCATTTTACGTAATAAATAAAGAAAGCAAAAAGCTCTACTCTCGGTACAAAAAACAATTACATTAAAAATCGTAGTAATTAATTCTATAATAAAAAAAGATTAACTAAATTACATATACATAGTTCCACAATTTTAAAACGAAATAAGTCATCACTCGTCAACTGTACTATGTAACTTTTGTATTTATCGAGTTCTTAGGTTTTCGCGATTCTTATACATAGGAAATGAAACTATTTTTTCGGATCTAAATCGCGTATATTTGTTTTTTCAAACAAATCAACGCTTAAAAAAGTCAACTTTTGTATTGTTTTGAAGCTTATACAAATTACTGCTTAGTTTAGTTTTAAAGGTTTTGTTGCTTCAAAGTCAAATAAAATTGTACTATCAGTAGAAGTTTTAAATTCACCAAACTAAACTTTGATACCGATACCGAAAATTTTTTCAATTTTTTTCTACTATTCTTTTAAAACACTTTCTTACCTTTTTACACATTTAAAATAAGGTTAGAATGCTGCCATTACTTGTCTTAAAATTGTACATCATCGTTACAAATGTACATCGTTGCGTGTGGTATTCTTTCATACTATTCACAGTCCAGCGAGAGCTCATAAGAATACGGAAATGTTTGGTAGGTATAGAAGTATCAGAATCTCACGTGTCGTGTGGTTATTTTATATAACCAATCAGGAACCGCGTGAAATATTAGTCTATTTGATTGACTGATGAATAAATCTAGAAAATTAAGATTTGCCATTTGTCTTGTAGCACCCGGGCAAGGGCTACGTGCAATGCCATGTTTAAATCATCTCTCGCTGATACTTACTCGGATTAATTATTAAACTAAACTGAGCAATCGTTAAATCTAGATGAACCGTCACCGCCCGGAGTGGATGGGAGAGATCGTTACGTAAAAAATAGTATTTCTGTGTATGGAGTGCGATGGCAGTTCTGGAAGACAATATTTTGTAGTAAGTATTTTTATAAAAGTTTACTTAAATAATTTAACAAATCAAGAGAGAACCTTCATAAAAATAAAAGGATTACAAGCCATAAATGACGGGACGAACAAGTCGTGCGCCTGGTGGTAAACGACACGCATACCCATAACAGTTGTAGTGCCACTCAGAGCTTTAAATTGCAAAGATCTCAGGGGCACTGTCACTGCGCCCGTCACCCTGAGATACAAAGTCGACAAGTCCCATGTGCAGTTATCATATTACTGCTTGGCAGCAGAAATAGGTACGAGCGCTTTCCCATTATGTCGTGACGTTTTATTTATCGTTGGACGATTGTCGCGCTAGCCTGTTCTCATATCACGACTATCTGTCGTGACTGTGTCGTGGTCGATTATTTTATCATTGAACGACTGTTATGTCTAGCTGTTGCCACTAGATGGTGACGACAATTTATCGTTTCACGGCAGCGGTTAAAACCCGGGCGCTTGCTCATCTCTGGCCCTACTACGCGCTACTGCAAAGCGAGTCGAGGGCGCGGGGTATGAGAGGGGAGAGTAGGGAGCAGAACACGTGCAGACAACGATAAATAAAACGTGACGACAATAGTAGCTGCGATTACCTGTCGTCACGTTTTTATCGTGACTTTTATTTATCGTCGGACAACAGTTGTCGTTCTAATTTTTCCCATTGCCGCGACAGTCTGTCGTCGTAACAACAAAAAAATCGTGAAGTCAGAGTTAATAGTGTCGTTCCATATGTGAACAACTTAATTTAAACATTCAAGCCACGACATTGTAAATTGCACGACTATCTGTCGTCACGACATAGTGGGAACGCGCCCTAGGGTGACAGTACTTCTCTGGACGAACTCGCTCACACGAAGTCATAACTGCTGGTGTAATTTTTTTATAATATCAATTGGCGGGACGAACAAGTCGTGCGCCTGATGGTAAGCTACACGCCTGTCTATAACAGTTGCAGTTGCCACGGCGCCCGTCACCCTGAGACATGCACCCTTACCCTTCAAAACCGGAAAACAGTAATGCTAAACATTACTGCTAAGCGGCAGAAATAGGTAAGGTGGCAGTACTTCCTTGGACGAACTCTTTCACAAGGAGCTCTACTGCTTACAAAAATTAAACTTTAGTGGATTACTTTATTCATAAATGAACGTTCATCATCATCAAACCACTTAAACGTCCCACTGCTGGCCACTGGTCTCCTCACAGGCGAAGGTTTAGGCTCCAGTCTGCCACCCTGGCTCAATGCGGATTAGGGACATCATTCGTTTTCTGAGGGTTGTGAACCTTCTTCGATATGTACGTTTCATCGCGATGTTTTCCTTCACCGACAAGCTTACGGTCAATTTCACATTAAATTTCGCACATAAATTCTGAGAAACTCACAAGGTCGAGGCTGGATTCGAACCCACGGCCTCTGCTTGCGAGGTGATAAGTCAAATCATTACGGAGGAGGTTCTCAATTCGACTGTATGTTTTTTTTTGTATGTATGTTACGCGATAACTCATTTGTGAACCGATTTTTTATTTATTTTTTAGTGGAAAGAGGGTACCTCATTAGTAGTCCCATTTAATTTAAAAAAAATCCGGTTTCGCGTACTTTCCGGTAATCGATTTCAATAAAACTTAGCTTAAAGTTATGTTTAAGGGCAGTAGGTTTTTTTGTACTCTGAGATTATAATCATTTAAAAATGGGCTTACCGTGTGCGTTACGAGGGAGGTCCCTGACGCCACTTATCGGCAGAATCCCTCGCAGAATGCGGTGCAAGGTGGGCTCGAACACCGCCCAGTACGTCGGCGGCGCCGGCGGCGGCCAGAGCCAGTGGTGTCACTGCCGCGCCGGGCAAATGCCGGAGGACGCCCACACCGCTCTCGCAGCGGGCTGCCATTGCCATGGTTGCTGCCGTTTCCGCGAAACCCTACAGCCCAAATTGAAATTTATTAAACGAACTTTCGACTAAGTAAAAATGGCGAGCCAACTGGTTATCTGAAATTGAATCGTATTTGTTTTTATGTACAAATAAATGACTTCCTTACAAAGTAAGTTTTTAGTATTTTCAAAACGAACTTGGCCCAAGTATAAGCAAGGAATTACGAAGTAAATTCAAAGTTTAATTTCTTGCTTAAAGTTGGACAAAGTTAGGTTTTTGTAAATACAATAAACTTGCTAATTCGTTTTATAAATATCAGCAATTGATATACACAACAAATGACAAATTCCTAATTATTGTTATAATATTATTAAAGCTTTTTAAGACGTTTTTAAAATATTTTTTGAACGCGTCATTCGTCACTTGATTGTTACGTAAGAACAAAATTTCTATACTCTATCACCTCGCAGTGGCTTAACGTCAATATCGAACTGGTGTCAATTTGATATCAACTCTGACGGGAGCATTGCCCCATGCGCCCCTTAAACTACGGAATGTTGATTGGTTGCAAGCAGTGACCTCAGAAAGTAAACTTTACAGTAGTGAAGCTAGAATAGTACGTTGTGTATTAAAGGCGGTAAATAAGAATTTACCAACGAGAACCTATTAGAATCTCGAAGCAGAAAGCTGAAGGCTTTAATAACTCGAGTGTTTTATTTTTTTACTGTCCGTGATACACACAATGTCCTTCATCACATTTGCGAGGAAATAAATGCAATATACATATGGTTCACAATAAAACAATAATGGATTTGGCAAATGGCGAGTTTTATGTTTTTTTTAATTCTTCCATTTTTCACATTTTAGTTCGAGTTGCATAGATAATTCAACTCGAACTAAAATTATGTAAAAAGGAAACACGCAAACAGCCATGATATCAATTATAAGAATTAAAATCAATTATAAGAAAATCTTAACAATAAGTATTTAAGTAGTATGTGGCTGAATTGCAATTAAATTTCTGTTTATTAATTGCAATTAATTTTAAGCGAATGTTTTAATTTTGAACTTAAGTAACCTCCTTAACCTCCTATCTAAGGAAGTATGTCGTGCTACAAATAAAAAAAACGCTCCTTACCGACCATGGCTGTAATGGAACGAAGAAAGGTCCGTGTATTATATTTGGGGCATTATAGTCAGTTAGCCACCGAGCAATCACACCATTTACGAGCAAGTGTGGTGAAAAAACTAGTGCCGTATCACGTCGGTTGATATCAGTCTCAATACGCAAATACCCAAGGCGCAAAATGACTATGTAATGTTTACTGACCTCTTTGACGGTGTGTATGGCGCTGGCGACTCCCTCTCGAATGTCGGTGGGGTGCCGTGCGGGATCATGACGCCGTCGTCTGCGTCGCTCGCGACGTTGGTACGCGTCTTGCAGAGCCAGTGTGGGGCCTGGGGTCAGCATGTCGAATGCTGTTTCTGCTGTCGCCTGTACGTAATTATCGTAGTGTATACAAAGAGACACGTGATTATTAAAAAGTAAAAAAGTAGTCACCACAAAAATCTGAGGGACATTGCCACTGCGCTCGTCACCCTGAGACGTACGTTGACAAGTCCCATGTGCCTGTCATTTCACCAGCATCCTTACCGCTCTAAACTGGAACGCAATGCTCACAAGGAGCTCTACTGCTGTTTATAAATATTAATAAAAATTCTACCTGTATGAGTTGTAATATGCGCGTAGTGATGTCCAACGCTGCGACAGCAGTCCTTGCGGTGAAGGAGGCAGCGCCGCGGCGCAGGCCGTGCACCAGTCGCCCATCGCGACGCCACTGCTCTACAGGCAGCCAGAACAGGTCGCGAATGCCCGTTACTGCAATACCACTTTTCATTAAACTTAGGTTTCACACAATTGTCACTCTTATTGCCTCAATCATACTGTATTACATTCCCGCCTGACTGCGTTTATGTACAATCAGACAGGAAATGACAAACGTCACTTTGATACATCTCATGTCCAAACTTCGAAACTTAAATATAGTCCGGTGGGGTAAGAGGAACATATTTTATTTTTAACGGACTTCGATATAGACATGAGCGCCGATAGTAGACCAACCGGCAGCAACCCGCCGATAAAAAAAGTGTCGGCGGCGGCGGCGTTTCGGCGGCGCGAGCGCGACCTTAAAACGAATTTGTATATCGGTGTTTGTTTTTACAAAAACCATTATACAAATACTTTTTCAAAGGAAAAAATAAAATAACGTATTTTCTATAGTAATCAAATTTTTATTAGTTCGATCAGGCGCTCCGATCGTACGCACGCGCACGTTTCCATATTGTGTATGCGTAGTGAAAATGGTGATGCCAGAAATTGACAAATTAATTTTCTAAACAAAATATAAAGTCACTAACTAACTTTTGTGGCCTATCTATGTCACCTCTGCTGAGGTCGGACGGCACGCTAGCCTATACTGCAGAAAACAAGGCAAATCTTTTTGCCTCACTCTTTGCAAAGAGTTCGCGTCTGGATCTCATCTTACAGGCTGCCTGCACTATGGCGCCAATTCGCACACACCAAAAAGAGGTACTTAGAACTCTGGACGTGAATAAAGGTAGCGGGCCAGAAGGAATTCCAGCACTAGTCAGTGCTGGAATTCCATCTGGCCCGCTACGTAACTGTGCGCCTGAGTTGTCTCCTGTTCTCACACGCCTACACTTGTACCGCCTCTCACTTGAGACTCGTGTAGTTCCCAGGTCGTGGAAGCTTGCAAACGTGCAACCTGTGCCGAAAACGGGAAGCAGAGCTGACTCTGTCAACTATAGACCTATCTCAGTCACTTCCATTCTCTGCAAGACTATGGAACGTGTACTCAACAACCGTCTCTTGTCGTACCTTGAAGACAACGACCTCCTCAGTGATCGCCAGTACGGATTCCGACGAGGGCGATCAACTGGGGACCTTCTTGTGTATGCCTGTCACATATGGAGCGAGGCTATACAAAGCAAGGTGAAGCACTTAAAGTGTCTTTGGATATTTCTAAACCCTTTGATAGGGTCTGGCACGCAAACCTTTTAAGTAAGCTTCCCTTTTATGGGCTTCCCACTTTGCAATTATCTCAAATTTCTTGAGCGAACGTTCGATTTGAGAGGTCTTAGAAGGCTACTTTTCCGAACATATGGCGATGCCAATCTTGTCAGGCGTGTCTATTATCCACAAAACGGAGTCCCTTTGAGCTGACTCCGACTTTTCGTGATATATCCATAGTGATAGCCGACTGTCTCCAGCTACTTGGAATGGACCTGTCGTCCAATTTGTACTTCGGCAGATACGTTGAATCCATGGCCAAACATGCAGCGAGGAAGCTTAGGATCCTTTCCAGAGTGAGGTGTTACTTCACACCGGGGCAGTTGCATCAGCTGTACCAAGCACAAATCTGGTCGTGCATGGAGTACTGCTGCCACCTTTAGTATGGCTCTGCTACATACCAACTGGCCACCTTGGATTCAATTGACAACCGTGCCAAGAAGCTTATAGGTGAATCGGAATTAGTGGAGGTGAAGCTGCAGAGCTTTGAACACCGCTGTAAAGTTGCCAGCTTATCGGTATTTTACAGGATATGTCATGGGGAGTGTGCGATGGAATTACACGATTTAATTCCGCTTTCCCCTTTCCATCACCGGGGGACTAGGCGTAGACTTGGGTTCCACCTCTATGCATATTCCAAAGATTCGCACAAAGCGTTACGCTTCCACATTTATATGGCGAACGGCTATGGATTGGAATTCCCTGCCTGCAGACTTGTTCCCTGAACGTTATAACTTGGGCCTTTTTATGGCAAAAGTGAATAGGCATTCATCCATCGTCGACCTCATCGTCACTTTCCATCAGGTGAGATGGAGGTCAAATGCGAACTAACATTTTATAAAAAAAAGTTTTATTTTAGAAAAGTAATTTTCTGGCGTCGCCATTTTCACATACACAATACGGAAGCGTGCGCGCGCGTACGATAGGAGCGCCTGATCGAACTGAACGGCGCGCCGATTGCATTTGTCGGCGGCGGCGGCGGCGGCGCGAAGACAAAACGCGGCTGCGGCGGTGCTCCGGCGCGGCGCCCATGTCTACTTCGATAGCGAAAGGAGAAGGTTCGCAATTCGACTGTATGTTATTTTTGTGTCTATGTTACGCGATAACTTGGTATTTGTGAACGGATTTTGATGATTCTTTTTTTGTTGGAAAGAAGGTGCCTCATTATTGGTCCCATTTAAAATTGAAGAAAATATTCCACCTCTAAGGGTGTCAAACTTGGGGTTGAATCCGGTTTCGCTCACTTTCGGGTAGCCGATTTCAATAAAACTTGGTAAATAGATGTAATGCCACGAATTTGTGACGTCGATTTTATTGGAACTCTGTACTGAGATTATGAGTCAAATGTTTTGGACCCATAGGAAGAACAGATTAAGTCTTATTAGTCGTCACCAAATAAGAGGCCAAATTTGACAGCTAAAGAAGGCGATAGTATGAAGCTTTGAATGCGATCAACGAAACAATAAACGAACAATTATTAGCATAATTGAGTTTTTTTTAAATATTTAAATTTTATTGAAACATTATATAATAACACAAAACACATTTGAAGTACTGTTTTCGTACGAATGCCTAAATAAAATGCAACTTTGAGTTACCCCGAAACGTCCTGAAAACGGTTACGTCCTCAAGCAGCAATTAATCGCCGGATTTCACCGAGATTCTCCGAAAAAATATTTAAAAAAATATTAGAAAAAATTATGAACATTATTTGAGATTGTTTGTTGTTGACATTGACAACTTCTAGCTTATTGCCAGCCGAATAATTGAAAATGTATGAAATCCTTGGTTTCTTGGTAATTTAATCTTTTCATGTAGTTGTTTTATCGATGAACATACTTATTTACACTAAATTCTCGTAATAAACCATTTATTAATATGATAAAATCAAAATTAAAACATTTGGATACAGTTTATCGAAATTTGGGACAATTTTACGAAAATAAGAGGAATTGCAAGGAATTCTGTAAATGAATTGCTTTCAACGGAATTGCACGATTTGGCCTTTTAGGCAATTATTATGTTAGTATTAACAATGAACCGAAAAATAATCTAAACAATTACAAACTCCTAAAATGTTGAATCGATTTCTCGTGAAAATCGTATAATGTGATTATCGATACGATTAGTCCACATCCCTATTCGCGATTCGAGGACAAGAGTCAAATTTGGCCTCTTATTTGGTGACGACTATAGAAGAATTTTAAAGTATTAAACTTGCCTCTGTTTATCAGCTTTACACGTTTTAACAATCATTATGCTGAATGCAATACTTACGACGTATTTGCCGAAAACGTGCAAATTATGCTAACGTTTCTCTTCCCCCAAAAGACTGGGTAAGAGAAATAAACGTGATGGTATACCTCGTGTTCTCTAGATTTCACAACTGTCAAATTAGTTTTTTCGGCCTTTTGGATTTGGAGTATCGTAGCGACATCTCTTTGAAATCCTTTGAACTAATTTCTTTTCTGTTTTATCGACTGAGAGACTATAGTGCTAAGCTTCGTAGGTTATGAGTTAAGGCTTCAAGACCCTCTTCACTAGGTGCTCTTTTTACCCCACCTGACTCTATATAATTTTTTGATCCTGTAGAAGGAGCGGACCTAATGTTATTCAACATTTTTTTTGGTTTTCAATATACAGGGTATACGTCAGTATACAGGGTATACGTGAGTATACAGGGTGTCACACAGCTATGGGATATGGAAGGTAAGTATTTTAAATAATGTAGATAGGATGTTTTCCTTCATGGAGAATTATTTTACTTTCAAAAGTAGGTAATATCGCTTTCAAGGACGTTGAAAAAGTTGCTAGCCTCATCTGGCAATTGAACCGATGAAATGTGAAAAAAAGATCGGCGTCATCAAAATACGGGATTTTTTTATGACGACGATCTAAAGGCTCAATAAGAAGGATTATTTTGTATAAGTAACATAGTATTATATATTTCGTCGGCTAAATTTGAAAACCTTTAACTCCATTTTTGAGCGAAATCCCAAATAAAATTAAAGACAAAAAAAATGTAATCCAAGTGAAAGCTTAAAATATTTTACACCTATTTTGGTTATAAAATAAAGGTATAATCATAAATTGTCACATAATTGTAACTGCCAACACAAAAGTAGTGTAAAAAATTACCCACATATTTTTTTTTGTTTGGATGCTATTTTCATGTACAAAAATATTTAATTATGAATTTTTCTTATAGATGAAAATTGTATCTAAATATAAAATAACTGTGCATTTTAGTATCATTGAAAATAATATTGTACAAAAAAATATGTGTGTTACACCTATTGCGCTGATAGCCTCAATTATTTCTAGTATTTCTGTTTTTTTTTGTGCTTACCAAAAATTCACTTTAATGAAGGTTTACTAATTTAACCGACGATGTTCTTTCGATTTTTAAAAGTGTAGTTCTTCTGAGCGGTACTTACTGAGTTGCAATAGCGAGTGCATAGGCCCGATGCCACTTAACAGGCCGGGCAGCTGGTGACGCTTGATATCGGAAAGCCATTCGTGGAGTGCCCACTGCACTAGTTTCTCCAGACCTAGCAGGCCGAATCTGAAACATATCGTTAGCATTGCAAGCAACAGAAACAGAAAATCTACCGTGACTAATGAAGCCAGAGAAAACGAAAGGGAGATTTCAGGAGCGTAGTAAGTTAAGGTCGGTAGACTCTATCAGCTTTAGCAGCACTTTGCACGCGCGCCACTTTGGTTGGTGTCGGCTCATCTCGAAAGACTATTACGCTCGATTGCTGCTTTGTTTTGGGATCGTAACTATAAATCCATGTTTCGTCAGCTGTTACTATGTCCCACACTAAATTTGACGTCCCTTCGTTGAATCTGGTAAGCATGGTACTGCACCAAGTGACGCGATTTTGAGCCTCAGTCAAATTATGTGGGATCCACCGAGAGCACAGCTTTTTCACACCCAAATGTTTGTGTAGTATTGATTGTATTTGACTCATGCCTATGCCTAAAGATCTCGCCCGAATCTCACGGTATGTCTAATGCCTGTTTGTTTAGATTATACGGTGCACAACATCGATGTTTTTGTTGTTCACAGCAGTGGACGTGCGACCATGACGAAATTCGTCACTGAGATTCACACGACCGCGTTTGAATTCTGCAAACCAGCTATAAATAATCGTCTTGCATGGTGCTTCATCGCCAATAGCAGTTTGAAGCCGAGCGAAGCTCCGCTGAGCTGTTAAATTATACTTAAAGTCGTAGAAAATCATACCACGAAATTTTCACGAGTTAAAGCCACGGTGATGTAGACAACCAATTTCTAAAATGACGTCACAATGTAAAAACGAGTGACAGTCAGATGAAACAAACTATATTCTACAGCCAAAGAGTTCCATTTTCAAATGTTGTAATTACCTTTTAAATATTGTTTATGTAAGTGGCCAGGACTAGAAACTTACAGTGCGCCCTATGTAGATACTCGTTAATGATTTCTTATTAACCGTCCTTAATGGTTATCTATCAGTAGTCCGAAATGACATTTCCCAGAAATAACGTATGCTCGAATTTTTATGAAAAGTAACTTTGAGAGGAAAACGTTGTTTTCTTCTAAACCTAACTTAACCTAACCTAATCGTGTCTTTGCGATAAACATCCAACATATCCTGAAAGAACAACGGTTTCGTTATAGTTCAGAATAGTGTTTTGGTTAGATGACGTAAGTATACCTGTAATCGAGCCGCTTAAGGGTGAGCTCGGAGCAGTTGAGCTGGCCGAGCCCCATGAGCAGGCCGGCAACGGGCCCAGCCGACAGGTCGACGCGCTTGCCCACGTAATCCAGCCGGATGGGGACCTCGGGGGAGAATACCACTCTCCTGTCGAGTAACAAGGAAGTTTCTAAGAGTTCGGCCCTTTCTGTACCTTACTAGACTCAACTGTTACTGATGCTTGCACAGGTTATAGTGCCCGTCTCGTATACCCTAAGGGTTGGTAGGGAGGGACACTATAATCAAAACTTATGTGGAATGGAAAAAGAGGTGTTACTGATGATGTTTTTATTGAATATTATGATGGATCGAAAAAATCTTTTTACTAATAATTATGTTAATAATGTGTTTATTCCTGTCAATATTATTTAAGTTCGAATCATCAGTTTAAGGCTATAATTAAAAATAAAGTGGAGTCGAAATATCAAATTCCATACATTCCAAAAGTATTCAGAAATTAAGAACTTGAAATCCAAACCTATAATGATTCGAAATAAAAAAAAATCAGGATAAGCAGATCAGAGCAACCCCGAGGAAAGAGAAGCTGCAATATAATACATTAAGGACATTGTTGCCTTTGTCTTGAATTTTTGCTGCTCCTAACCACCGGAAGGCAAAGGTTCTATTCAAAACAGAAACACGTGGATTTATAACCTGAAATATATCGGCGAGTCGTCGACAGGCTCCGTGTCGCGAAGCTGTTTGGTCGGCGGCTTCTCCTGGTTGATGCCCAGCCGGTTGAAGTCCTCCTCCAGCTGGATTAGGTTCTCCGACACAAGTCGTTCGGCTTCGTACGTCTCCATTAAGGGTTCTTCGTCGCGGATTACTGCAACAGGTATCATGGAAACACTAATTTTGGTTCATGCAACTTTTTAATTTAAAGTTATTAAAGTAAATGTCTATCAATTCACTAACGCGGTTAAAGCCAAAGTGTACCTAGAGTTGCTAGCGAGATTTATTATATATTTCTTTCCGTATTGTGTACATCACCCCAAGAAAGGTGAGGCGAGGTGTGTTAATGGGTGTTAATGTGTGTGTGTGTGTGTGTGTGTGTGTGTGTGTGTGTGTGTGCGTGTGTGTGTGTATGTGTGTGTGTGTGTGTGTGTGTGTGTGTGTGTGTGTTCCGTAAAATCCTGGACAGCGTCAGCAGTGGATCTTCCCAACCTAAAACCATACTGACTTTCCGATAACTTTTTATTTTCCAAATAGCTAATGAGGCGCTTATTTGTGATTTTTTCCAGAATTTTAGACAATGAAGGCAAAATGGGGATCGGTCGATAATTGTTTACACTGTCTCTAGCCCCATTTTTGTGAATCGGTAAAACTACCGATTTTTTTAGCGCGTTCGGGAACACACCTTCCGTTAAGCAATGATTTAAAAGATAAGTAATTGTTGGAGTTATAATACTTTGAATAGCTTTTGGTAGTGTAGTTGAAATACCGTCATATCCAGCAGATGTATCCTCTAGGGAATAAATGAGTCTTTCTACTTCCTCAGAATCAGTTTCCTGCAGTACAAATGATGTGTACTTTGAATTTAAGTTTTTGATACAATTTTGAGGAAATGGGGCCAACGTTCGATGGAATTTTGTTTGCAAGTTCTGATCCTATGCTAACAAAGAACTGATTTACCTTATTCGCTGACTCTTGTTCAGTGACGTCTAATGACAAAAGTTCAAACGCTGACTCTTTAGTTTTATTTCTATTTGAAATAGTATTAATTGCATTCCATAACTTTTTATTGTCATTTTTACATAAATTATTTTGATTTTGTTCATAATTTCGTTTAACTTTTTTAAGTATATTGCTACAAAAATTTTGATACCGTTTGTAAGTTCATTATTAGGATCATTTTTAATTTTCTTATGTATTCTCTCTCTATTTTTTATACATTTTAGAAGTCCTACTGTGATCCATGGCTTCAAAGTAATTATATTTCTCGGTATTTTGGTTTTATTGAATTGTTTAAAATTAAATTTTGGATTTGTGTAATGAAATAATTTGTGGCGCAATCAATGTCATGTGCATTATAAATTTCTGTGAAGTCAATTATTTTACATTCATCAAGAAAATTGTCATATTTTATCTTAGTGGTAAAATGATTTGTAAGTCGATTAGAATTTTTTTTCATTTTTAGACAAAAGAGGATTGATTCATGATTAGTTATCGAAGTTTGAAGCATAAAAGTTTTCGATTGTAGTTTAGTTTTGACAATTGTATGGCCCAGACAGCTGTTAGGTGTTACGTTTTAGTGGCATTATGGCAGGTCAAAATTAGCTCATTACTTAAATATAACAAAACTACAAGAGGAGAAGCAAGGCAGAAGGTAATTTCGTGGTTCACTAAAACCGGTCCATGATGAACTAAGCACTAAAAAGGTCTGATTTATTATCTTGTCGAACTGGGTAACTCGTTTCTTTAACTATTTCCGTTATCACGCACTTCTACAAGTTAATAATATTGTCATGGAAAGTAAAATAATTGGTCGAAGAACAACACAAGGGTCATCCAGATTGGTCAGGTCGCGACACTCCCATTAAATAAAAAAGAAATTTAAAGTACTTTCGTTTATTATACCGCCTTTTTTAAATATGTAGTGCAGCTATATTCCTGTATCGTAGTCTATAGCAAGATAAATAATACCATAGACAATATTTTTTTAATTCTCGCAATTACGGACACTTATGCATTTGATTATATGACAGTTTTTCTTCAGTCTGTTTACATAGCTCTTTGTTTATATGTAGACGTTCAAAAGTTTAGAACTGCAGACAGAAAATTAAATGGATTTATATCATTATTTTGCAAAGAGTTGTACGCTTCGTAAATGACAAACTCTGTGGGTTCTTTCTTTTGAAAATAATACAAAAATTTCCAAGCATGTTTGAAAAATATTAATAAAAATAGTTCTAGGGACCAGGACTACCCAAGCTTTAAATTCTGCTTAGATCGCACTTACCGATCAAGGGTAAACGACCAGGCGCGAGTAAAACGTAGTGTCGTTTAAGGAAGAAGGTTCGTCATGCTGTCTTGTCTATAGTTAGTTGATAGATCTTACCAGCTTCATTGAGCGATAGAGCGTCCGCATCACCAAGTGAAGTGGGTGTCGGTGGTGGGTCGCGTAGATGACTGCCGATACTCATCACTGGTGGACGATGGGTCGGCGTCGTCTGACGCGATCCGCTCGAGTCAGTTGAAAGCCCGCTTACACTTTTCGTGTCTTCATCTGAGAAAGAGACAATACAGTTTAGTATGAATTATATTGTGTGATAGTTTTACTGTAAAGCGTTACTCCCTATTGTTGCTGGTTAACCATAAAACTACATAGTAAACAGGGTTATTTTTAAAATATTAACAACCTCGCAGGAGTATATCGACTGTGAACTGGCAACCGGTACTATCTCAATTTTCTAAAGATTTCACTTTTTTATACTATTTCATATTCCTCAGTGTTGCAAGAAATATCTTCTTATTAATCTTAGATACATTTAATTTTGGCACCAGGATCGACTTCATTGAACTTATACTAAATTCTAACCAGATGTATAAGTAAAATTGTCAAAAATGAGATAGTACCGGTTGCCAGTTCACAGTCGATATTATTAACATAATGAACATCAACTTTTGTTGTTAGTATTTTAAAATAACCCTGTATACAGTACAGGAAGCTTGCCACCGTGCGACCTACAGTAACAGACGGAAAGGGGAAGGATAAGGTGTGCTCAGGAAAGGTTCAGATATTCTGACGGCCAAAGGTGTCTTGGCTGCAGTGCTGGAGAGTTCCCTCGTCAATGAGGCAGCACTTAATGTGGCAACCGCTAGTTGTGATTGCACAACGGGAGGTGGGCAAGCCAACAACTCCGGTACCAATCTGGATAATAGGAGGGTTCTGTACGTGCGCCCGGGGATGCTCACCCAAGGCACTATACTTTCGAGAACCGGATGAAGTGTGTCAACGGGCTGATCTGGGGTCAGGACCTGACTGACAAGGTCCCTGTGCGGGCTTGTTTGCGCAGGTAATAGTGCCCTTCCCGTATAACCAAAAGCTAGGGTAGTGGGGACGTTATAATGAAAGCTTAGTAGAAGAATGGACCAATAACTAAAGAGGACTGCTAATCGCGTAGTCGGGTATTTAGTACCTATCGGTACACCAGACGCCGCGATGAGTGCCAAATAGCTATTATTGTAACTAATTTGTTTAAATTGACAAGCTGCAATTTATCAAAGTTATTCTAATTTCTAGGGATAACAAATCAACTAGATGGCGCTTATTGCACAGATTTTTATTTTTTTTAGGATTTGCGCCATTTATCCATATTAGGAAGCGTTAATTTATAAATTAGTTTGTAAGATACAATGCCATATATTGAAACGCATATTTGTCACAGTTCAGAAAATAATTTTAGCCACGATTGAATAATATTTCAAAGAAAAAAACTTGACTTCTTGTATTTAATATTGAAGAGGAAATAATTGATATTCGCAGCTATTTATAGAATATAAACTACAGGCTATTGATCAGCGCTATCTAGATATAAGACGGACTTTTGACTTTTTTCAAAGCTACTATCTGTAGTATGGAGATAAGTAGGCCTCCAGAATTATTGGTCCATGACAGAAGATATTGGACTCTTGCTGTCTACTTAAGGAGAGATGTATGTAGTTTTTTCCTTTAAGAATTAAAATAAACATAAAATTAAAAATATTATGTATCTGTATATGTGTATACAAAGTAGCACATTTAGACAAATTCATTTCATTAAAGCACATTTAACAGCGGCTTCAAACAACAAAATTAAAGTGTTGAAAATTGTCTTAGGAAGCTAACAGACTGACTGCATGTTTGCAGTTAAAGCGTGAAGTCAATATCAACTTCATGCAGTCGAGGTCACATATTAACTGCATGCAGTCGTTATCAACTTTCGAAGTCGAAGTTGATTTCGATTTCACGCATTAACTGCAAAGATGCAGTCAATCTGTTATCAGTCTTACCAGATGCTTCGTCAGTGCCGAGTTTCCCGAAAAATCCAACCAGAAACGCAAGAGTATCCTGGTCGAGATTGAACCGCAACGGTAACAACGATACTTTGAGACAGCATTCTTGCGCGCTCAGCGACGCGAGTTGACGCATGTGGACTGCTTTTACTATTAGCTGCAAAGAAATATACATTATTTATGGTCTCTGGGTTACGATGTAAACTGGGGCACTCGGTAGAGTGTTTTGTAGAAATAATGTAATGACTTCAACACACTTCTGACAAAGTAGTATAATTATAATAACAACGCACACACTCATAGCCCCATACTAGGGAAACCCTGTATCGCGGGTGCCAAGAAACACACACATATGACACACAAACTCACAAGAAAAATAAATAAATAAATAAATGTAGGCCATAGAAATATTGTCGCGTGACAGATCAGCATGGCAACTGTTCGACCATAGAGTTAATGATAATATTGAGGAAGGAGTGATTTCGGTTAACGAAAATAAATTATATTAGAAAAAGTGAAACCGAAATTTAGTAGTATGTTTGCAGTTAATTAATAGCATTAAAATTTGTTAAATAGAATGATTTGATTTTCGGCAAAAAATATTAGTTAGAATGTGAAATTGAACATAAATTTCAATTTTACAATTTACACTTGTATTTGCGAGGAACGTACAAATTTTTGCCATTCAAAGGTCAACACTTTTAAAAATTTAGCATCGGAACTGTCGTTGGCGTCCTCGTGTTTGAGAGCCCTATTAAACGTCGGTAACTTTTCAGTCCTATAATTTGATGCTTTTTTAAGCCGGGTACTCATTAGCGAACTGTAAAGTGACAGATACAGTAACGAGATTCGAGTGTGTACGCGTGAAACAGTTTTTACTCGCTAGAATGAGGTTATCGCCGGCTCACTGTTCGCCCCGAGCGGCGAGCTCGCGAACCACGTACACACTATGATTTTTGGTAACATAACATGCAACGGTTACGGTTACAGCTCGCTAGTGGGTACCCGGCTTAATATGTCCAGCATTTTTGAGCCAATTTGATTAGTTTTTGTTTCAACGACAATTTAGTGTTGTGAAGGTTGGTTCGTGCAAACTGGTCTTCTTTATAGGCGCCAAAGATGTATATTCTTACCATATGTGCGTTTTTCCTCTCTGGTTCGTCTTTAAGCTTGTACTGACTCAATAGCTTGTTGATATTGCTACAATCCAACTGGTCTAGCACTTCGATTTTAGTGATCGCAAGGGTCTGACGTGACGCTTGCGTTCCTCCGGGTGGGTATGTTTCGTGAACGAATTTTAACTGTAAAGGCGAAGAATTTTGTAATATTTATTTTAATTATGTTCTTACTTTAGTAAGGCACACACTTATAATCCCACACTATGGAAACCCTGTATCGCCATTGCCATGAACACACACATAGAAATCACAAATTACTCCAAACTCACGAGAGAAATAAATGTAGGCTATACGAATATTTCTCCCGACCTGGAGTCGAGTCCGGGATCTCTGCGTGGCAGTCCAGCATGGTAACCGTTCGGCCACGGAGGCAGTCACTTCTACGATATTTATCTATTTTTGTGAAAACATTACACTTGTTTGTTCATACAAAGATCGAACAAACAAAGTTATATTTTTTCGGTCCGGTTGGATTTGAACCAGGGTCTGTCGCCTCAACGTGGCTACCAACTCTCACCAACTGAACGACCCTGATTCGAGCCCAGTCGGATGGAAGGGATTTTTCTTTGTGTTTGTTCGACATTTTAACCGACTTCAAAAAAAAAGAGGAGGGTCAATTCGACTGTATGTTTTTTTTTGTATGTATGTTACGCGATAACTCCGGTATTTGTGAACCGATTTTGATGATTTTTTTTGTTGGAAAGAGTGTACATCCATAGTGGTCCCATTTAATTTTGAAGAAAATCGTCTACCTCTAAAGGTGGCTGTTCAGGCATGAAGTTTCATTTTTTATAAATAGCGTCTAAATTTTATTATAGGAGCAATTATTTTAATGGTTGATATTGTTATTCTCCAATTCAAGGCGTTTCTCTCTCTCAATATACTTTGAGTAGTGAGATCCGATTTTTATTATCTCCTATGTCAAGTTCCGTATAGTGGCGAACTAGGGGTAGATTTCAATAAAACTTGGCAAAGAGATGTAATTCCATATACTTTTGAGGTCGGTTTTTTTAGTACTCTGAACTGAGATTATGTATCAATAATGATATTATTGTGCTGTAAGAATAATCAAGTGAACGTCATAACCTTTTTTAAAATTTTTATATTCCATGTTTAAATGGTAGCTTAAACAATTTCTGTAAAAATAAAAATTGGACTAGTTATTATCATAAAAATATTCACCATTTAAAATGGTCACATCATTCCCTATTTTGTATATTTTTTGTTTTACGTTTAGTATTATTATGGATTTAATTTTGTATTTCACATGTAGCAGGTTGCCGCCACTCGCAGCTTTCACGTCGCAATTCACAATACTAAGTTAATATTCGACTGTGTTTGCTTTAAACTGTAATTTTTTTCACTAAAGTCATAACGTGTCATGTTTGATTTGTGAGTACAATACAAATAGTATGGTTATACAGGTGACGTTAAAAAAATATTGCAAAAATTGAAAATTAGTAATGAGAGTACCTAAACATGTGGTCTAGAGTGTCGATTTTCAACATTCTGAAAAATTTGCTTAATATTAGTAAACTAAGTGACATGGATTTTTTAAAATATTTTTACCACAACTGATATACTCTGGCCTCTCGCCCAGCGCCCGCTTAACGTTGAGTTTTGGGATAGCCTGTATATGCGCAATAATTATTCTAATAATAGTGTTTCGGACAAACTGCTGGAGTGCTTTCAAAATTGATGCCAAAACAATCATCGTCATAATAAAAAAAAAAGTCAAATATGTAATTTTTAAGTCTATTGAATGTTACGATATTTGACCACCATGATATTAAATGATAATTGTGAAATTACTAGTTTGTAATAATTATTAATACAAAGATTTCTCAAAGATGGCGCTACGGCAATAGCTGTTAAAACTAAAAAACAAAGATCTACAACAAGCACAAAGAAAAATTGGTAAGGTCCGCTGGTTCCTTCTGTGGCTTAGTTGGCATAGCGCCTGGTATGGTTTGCTAGAAGATGTTGCTAATTTAAATTTTTGCTTAGTGTTCGATCTTTGTATTAAAAATTATTACAAAGTCAAATGTGTTCTGTCTTCGGAATAATGACATTCGGAAGAAAGTAATTGGTATATATGAAAAGTTACCCTACCATAGACTGTAAATATGCGTGGACATTTTCAGGAATCGATTTAAAAAATTTAAATATATTTGTAAGCTCTGGCGTAGGCAAGTATACATTAGTTACATACCTTAGTGAGACAAAGTTTGACGCAAGTGTGATGATCGCGAAGTGGTCCGCCACGAGAGCGCCAGTTACGCTGTTTGGGTTGCTGATGAGTGTTAGGCCGTACGCGTTCAGCGCCGGCAGTCCAGCTTACGCCGTGTCTACTGTACGCAGCAGTTACCGAACGACCAGATTCATAAGGCTCGTATTCCTTATTGCGTCTGGAACAAACAATATTATAATAAATTAACTTACTTAAAAAACAGAAGTTGTCAAGTTTGATATGTATACCATAGTATAATAAGACAAGTAGTTCAACTCCCGCTTGTTCGGTGCGTCAATGTCTAGGGTTGTCACATTATTATTTAACTATACAGATTTATTTGTAAAATATTAACAACCTCACATGACTGTATTACTACAATATAAACAACAACTTTTGCTTCATGACTTTTAATAATTCGTCACATTTCACTTTCATATGAAAATAAAATAATTTAAATAGATCGCTCTAAACGGTAATACCTCTGTCCAAACGTGAGAGTCGTTAGAAAAGACGCTTGGAGGTTTGAACTTACTACTTTACTACTAAATACAGATCTAAAAAGTGTCAGATAGAACAAAAAAACTTAAGTTTCGTTTTGGTATATTTATCATGTTTTGTCAAAAGTCACGGAACCAAAATTGTTGTTTATGATATTAGTAATCTAGTCCTGCAAGGTTGTTAGTATTTTAACAATAACACAGTATATCTACATACAGGCGGCAACATCTACTATTCATCACAGTTTTCTAGTGCTATACTGAATTAATCTTTGTCAAATGCAGTACTTACATATTGATATTTTTATACCAGCGTCGCGTATTAGTATCTTGATTATGGTTAGTATGATTATGAAATAGAAACGAAATACTGCACAATTTTGAATTTGAGGCAAATCTTGTTCAAACAACCATAAAGACAACAATAAGTACTTCATTATAGAAATATTTATGTAAATATTTTTCTCCTCATTAGCTCGGAAAGGCATTCTTTCTTATTAAATCTGCGCGCAAAAGCGTTTTTGAAATTCGAACTTGACGATGGACTGTGGTGCACCTAACTTTTTCTTTCGATGAAAAAAAAAAAGAAACACAATGACACGTTCAACTACGCGATTTGTCGTAGATTATTTATGTAATATAAATCCCTTGGTACATTTTATTCGTATTATAGTTGACATTAAATCGACAACGATATCAATTGATTTTATAGTTCGACTATTTTTCTTTCATCTGCCATTTTCCTCGTTACAGTGAGGTGAAAAATTGTGCGCTTCTCACGGCAGCAAATTTGTTTTACGTCTCGCGTCTTGAAACCCTCGCTACGCTCAGGATTCTATTTTTGAACCACTCGCTTCTCTCGTGGCTACAATCCGTCGCTTGCTCAGATTTCAGTACAAGCACTCGCGTCAAACAACAACTTTGTAGCCTTGCATAACAAATAACTATTATTTTACGAGAGCTGAACACGCGTTCGGTACTTACTCGGTTTTAGGGTCCACTGAAAATCAGCGTCACAGTCTTTGCTGATATTAGCTGAGTGGATCCTTTTACATACGCCACAGCCGCAGACATGACATTTTTTCAAATTGAGTTGACTGTTTTAAAATTGGATTATGTTTGCTTCGTCGTTTTTTTTTTGTTATTTTACTCTTGTTTTGACTTTTTTATTTCTGTATATATTTTTATATATATATATATTTTTGTGTTACGACGTTGTAACAAATTATTCCTATTCTATTCATTAGAATAGACATTAGGAAAAATAGGAAAAAATGACATAAACTATTATGTCATTTTTAAACTGCCTCCGTGGCCGAACGGTTACCATGCCGGACTGCCACGCAGATGTCCCAGGTTCGATTCCCGGGCCGGGAGAAATGTTTGTATGGCTTACATTTATTTCTCTCGTGAGTTTGGGTGTAATTTGTGGTTGTCTATGTGTGTGTCCATGGTACCCGCGACACAGGGTTTCCCTAGTGCGGGGCTATGTTGACTGTGTGCGTTAAACACCGCGAGATTGCTTATATTCTTTAAAGACTGGCGGGTGTGACCCGAACGCACCGCGCGATTTTGCGAATGTGTGCGTCTACACGACGCGATGCTACTTTGTGTGGAGTTACATCACTTGTCTTATTATACTGTGTGTACATTCTAGATATAGGTATGTATGATACTTCGTAGACGATATTATATAAAATTGGCATTTTTTAATGCTGATAGATTTAGTTTTTTATAATAATGATTTTATTGTATTGGAAGAAAATAATCAGGTCAGCAGAAGTTTGTAACAAAATGTTATACATTTTGTATGAAAAAACTTTTTATTAAATTTGACAACTTCCGCTGTCTCTATTTTTGCTCCCGATAAAGTAAAATCATACTTATAAGAAACTGGGTGTGAAAGACTGAGCTTTAAAAAAAAATTAGTAAATTTTATTAATTTTGTATGAAAAATATTTTATGAAATTTGACCAACTTCGGCTGTTCTGATTTTTTTCGTGTCATACAATGAAATGATCCCTTCATGAAACTGAGTCGATTAGCACTAAAAAAAATTTGATCAATTTTCTTTTTTATGGACAACTCACACTTGACCAAAAAATTTACTATGCGAAAATTTTTTTTATAAAATAAAAGGTTTAATGGTTCCTAAAACAGTTTCCTTATATCTTCTATGGTTTCGCTTTTCCCCATACCGACCCATTAAAAAAAACACTGTATATACCTTAAAATCAGCATTTTGAGTAGAATGTCAGATTATCTGAAAATAAATAGATCTTTGCTTACTTAGTAGCAGTAGGTGAGCCGTGTTTCCGGGCGTCGCCTTCGATGGTGACAGTTTTCTTAGTAGATGCAGCGTCAGTGGCCGACTTGAAGTCCGTGCCGCCGAACATGTTCCACGTCAAACTCATTTCGCATAGTGTGTATCTGTAAGCAACATTATTTATATTTTAATATACACAAAATTGTATTTCAATATTTTAACAAGAATAATAAATTGAGGCTACTCGCACAAATTTAAATGGGTAATCCCTTTTAAATTTTAAGAAAACATTGAGATACCTCCCGTATTCCTACTGAGAAACAAAACAAAAAAGAATCATGGAAATCGGTTCACAAATGTCGAAGTAATTAAGTAACATACTTACAAAAAAATACAGGCGAATAGAGAACCTCCTCATTTTTTGGAAGTCGGTTAAAAATAGTTCTGCAGACAGCCATTTGACACAATTAATATTTTGAATTGACTCGTGAGTTAATTGCTAGTGCCATAAGATTTTGGTACACCGATATGTAGGATAGTTAATTTTTTTTCATCTTACCTAAGTACCGGCAGTGGAAAACTCTTAGGCGCTGCAAGCACGTCAGTTCTTGCAGCTGGTTTATTGAAATGGTTCTCAATATACGGTATCGGTTGCGGTACGAACCACCTCACTATTGGCTCGGCGAGATCGTCGTCTTCTTCCGGGTGTTGAGATTCTATTATACAGTATTCGTCGTCAGTATTGCTGCTGTCGCCGCTTGATTTTAGCTGGAAACAGCGGCACGATAAGCTTGAGCAGGAAAGGCTTTTCTTTAAATTTTAATAGTCCTTTCTACCCATGGATACGATTGGGTAAAAACACATTTTACTTCTTCAAGTTCCCAAAAATGTCGACAAAGATTTTGTATGCATTACCAAAAATACTTTGTTATTGGTAAGTACTTCAGGTTCTAATATTTTATTTGTCTTTAGAAATTACTATGTATGTTTTCGTATTATAATGTATGTATGCACATACAAATGTATGTATGAAGCTGTGGTAGTATAATGGTCTGACCTACTGCTTTTTAAGCAGACGCCGTGGATTCTAATCCGGGATCGCACCTGCGTCTCAGAATTTTTGTGCGAAATTTAATTTGAAATTTACCATTAGCTTTTCGGTGAAGAAAACATCGTAATGAAACCTGCACGTATAAGAAGGTTCACAACCTTCGGAAAACGTGTGGAGTCTCAACCCGCATTGGGCCAGCGTGGCGGACTACGGCCTAAACCCTCGCTTGAAAGGAGACCCGTGTCCAGCAGTGGGACGTATAAAAGGGTTGATGATGATGTATGCACTACCTCGTTTTTTCTTTAGAAATAACCCGTGCATAACAGCACATTATAGATTAATTCCGACCAGCCTGTATGCGCGCGTATAGGGCTGAGAGTAGAACCGGTTTCCTTCCAACGCGCTGCAATCTCAATTCCTTCGTAATTTTGTCGTATTATGTTTACATTAAAAACATATTTGCTGTGTTAGATATTGTTGTTAGAGGAGTTGTAACTCATACAACTCTGTTCAGGTTTAGAAGTGTAAGGCACAACCACGTTTAATGCTTTTGTAACTAATAAATAAACAAAAAATAATAATATGCCAAACAATCACATAAATTATCTGATCTCAAAGTAGGGAATCCCCTGTACTGTAAGTACCATATTAATAAAATAAACTCCCGAGGGCTCTACGCCGAACATGCAGACAAGAATCAATTCAGAAAGTTCGTTCCCTGAATTGGTTCTACCGGAAATCACACCTGAGACGACGGAAGAGAAATCTTAGTTTCTGTTGTAGTGTGAATTAATAATACTTGTACCTTTTTCCGTTTGGATTTTTTCGGAGTGCCTTTAGGCGTTGAAGTCGGGTCTCCCAGATCCTTAGCCACTTGCGCGTTAGTTGGTTTCGCTTCAATGGCCTCTTCTAAGACACCCAATAGTAATATGTCATTGTTTATGGTCTTGTCATCTTCGATGGGTTTGTCCATGGTCTCGGAAGACATATGCTTCTGCTTCATGTTGGACTCGTCCGGGAAAAAGAATACCTCCACGCCCTCTTTCTCTGTAGAGCTGTTTAGGTCTTCTTCGTCCACTAAAAAGTTGTTGGCAAATGCATCAAATTTGAAGTAAAAACTAAAAAAATTCGGAAGAAAGTTAATGGTACTGTAGGTATATTAACTAAAAATGATAACTCACGTATTTAAGTTGAATTTTTGCTCGACATGTTTCGAACCAGTTCGTGGTCCTTAATCATGAGATTCCGCTGCGATGAGTGGAGGGAAACTGCGCGCCAAAGCCCTGGCAGCCCGATCACTCAGTACGGCAGCGGGCGCAGGCTGCGTCGGCGAGAATTTACCCTCGTTTGCTTCATTTTTATTAGTCCTATGCAGGATTGCACACTACACTAACATCGTCACTTTCTAAAGTCTCGTCTACACTAATCACTGACGTAGTAACTAACACTGTTTTCCAGCCGGGGGGTACCGACCATACACTATCTCGATTCATTTTCGAATGACGACCAATCTCGATAGCTTCACGTACTTTCCGCGGAATGAAATGCTTTTCTCTCGCCAGTACAGACACTTTATCAAAACGAATATAGTGCGTCGAAACCGAATCCAATGAGTGTTCCGTCACTGCAGAGCTCCGATTGTCCCGGTTCTTAATACTACGTATGTGTTCCGTTAGTCGTGTGGATATGTTACGGCCGGTCTCTCCTATGTAACTCTTGCCACAGGAGCAGGGAATCTTATATACACCTGGAACATTCAATGGCTCCTTATCCTTCGGTGAATGCACCAACTGTCTAAGTTGCATGTGAGGGCGGAAAGTCGTCTTGATGCTATATCTTCGGCGTAACGTGTCCGATTTTATCCGTTACTCCCTTAATGTAAGGTAAGTAAATCGGCAGCCTCTCCACTACCGCCGGACGAGGACGAGTAACCGCCTGCGCCCGCTGCCGTTTTGAGTGATCGGGCTGCCAGGGCTTTGGCGCGCAGTTTCCCTCGAGTCACCGCCGCGGAATCTCATGATTAAGGACCACGAATTGGTTCGAAACATGTCGAGCAAAAATTCGACTTAAATACGTGAGTTATCCGTTATTTTTAGTTAATATGTCTGAGTCTCAGGGTGGTTTTCTATTTAAAAGTACTGTAGGTAGTTTATGAGTCATGAATAATATTAGATTTTATTTACTTTATTGAGTATCATGATGTTTTTACAACTTTCTTTTATTTATGATATTCATAATTTTTTTGTGAAAATACTCGACTACTTTGTCATTATTAATTATAACTGCTTCCGTGGCCGAACGGTTACCATATTGGACTGCCATGCAGAGGTCCCAGGTTCAATTCCCGGGTCGGGAGAAATATTTGTATGGCCTAAATTTATTTCTCGTGAGTTTGGGTGTAATTTGTGGTTGTCTACGTGTGTGTCCATGGCACCCGCGACACAGGGTATCCCTAGTGCGGGGCTATGTTGAGTGTGTGCGTTATTATTATTATTATTGACATAAAGCAAAAAAAAACATATTTTGCCGTTAGCGCCACCTATGAGAAACTCTATAAGGTACGCTGCCTCAATCTGGTCTGTAGCTCAGTTGGTAAGAGCTGTGGCCCCAGTGTAGCAACAGACGCTGGTTAGACTCCAGTTATATCGAAGGAATTATTCTTTGAGTTGTATCAATAATAATAATACAAGATTTTTTATGCCATTTATTTTGTAAAGCAAGATATATTGGACACTTACGTGTGTTGTTAGGGCTCTCTTTTAACGCTTCTGCCATAAGGTCGGTGACTTGTTGAATTTCACTTGGAGATAATTCTCTTATTTCTTCCACTTGCCTGTCGTCTAGACCTAAAGTGGAAAAATATATTTTTTTTTTGTAATTATAGAACATCATCAAATTATATCATTTTTACAAGTGGTTTTAACTCGCTCTGTTCTTTGCACCGTTGTCGTTTGCTAAGATTGTATGTACTAAATTACAAATAAGCACCGTTTTTGCAACCCACGGAATGAACATGGTAACCTTTATGATTGATATGCAACCAATTCCGTTATTTATGCAAAATATTATTTTTCTTATTCCAATATTGCATATTTTGCGTAAGGTTGTCAAATAGGGATAACGTTATTAAGACGAATCCTAGGGACACCATGTGTTTAGAAGGCGTGTCGTTTATACAATTTAGAAATGCTCCACTAATAGTAATTTCATAAAAGAACAATGGTGAACCCCTGTACAAATTTTTGTTGACACTGTTCTGAACAAATTTGGTCCTGGGTTTACTATTCTGAGAAGCCTGGAATTAAAGATCAGGAAGTTTGTTTGGATGTTATGTTTTACATAATTGAATAAAATATATTCGATGTATTATTATATCAAAAGAAACTACAGAAGCCTTAAGAGTGTTAATAGAAGCTGAATAGTGCTGTATGTTTGTGACGTGTCGAAAGTTCAGAGGAAATATTTTAAATAACTGTTTTAAACAACGGTATGGTCAAAAAGCATGAAGTTAAGCCATAACAAAAGCAAACTGAGTTAATACATAATGGTAACTCGGACACAATTTTTATTCTGAAACGTGCCATCTATCTCAGATATTGGGAACTTTTTGTCAAGTTTACCACTTTCTGGCGTCGCATATTTCGAGGAGGAATTATTTACCATTTTTGTAATAAAGTAATCTTTTATTGCAAACCGGTACTTTTATATTACGTGAACTAACGTAATGTGGGCCTATCCATACGTAGATACTGAAAACCTTTTTTTGGCAGTTAGATGTCGTTCAACGTTAGAAACTGGCAGTTGTAGGCATTAATCCGGTTACGTTTACATTAACATCGTGTGTCCTCGATGCATACCAGTTAGTAATTTGAGTTTCTTTTAAATATGATTATTTCCAGACTTGGATAGTCCTTTCGGATAATTTGAAAAACTTAATGAATTTATTTTATTCAAACTTGTAATTATGACACTTGAACGTTAAAGAATTCTTTTAACAATGATTTTGCCGTTGTTCCTTTACCCAATCATTCCATTGTTTTTATTGATGATTTTATAAATTATTTATAACAAAAATTATAAATTGCCATTTGAAAATTTATTTACATTATATTAATAATTACTTTTTACTAGCAATCTTTCTATTGTTCGAAGTTGGTATACCTACTCATTAGCGGCTCTGAATAAATGCCTCAAAGACGATTAAACGCTGGCGGCGATCAACAAAAAGTAGAGTCTACACTACCTTGTCAATGATTGGTACACTTACCCACTAGCGGTTCGAGCGGTTGGTCGGAGCAAATGCTAGTATGCCTCGAGGACGGATCAAATGGCGGCTGGGAGTCGCCGTCGGACGCTACGTAAGTCAGCAACCGACATAAAGCAGAAGCAGAGTCCCAGCAGGTGTAAAGGTTCACCATGTTGTTTGATGCGCTGAGGTCTACTTGAGGTTGGTCGTTCGACTGTGGAATAGAGATATAGGAACGTTAGACATGGTGTGAATACATGAAACATGGCGTATTTATTGTGTCTATGTACTGTATTTTATACATTTATACAATCATGGCGGTTTCATCATCAATCAGGCATGTTTTGATTTTATATTGATATTTGATTCAACGTGCTGGCTTCTTGCGGCCAGTAGCTGGACTACGACGAACGATTAACTTCTGAACCAATTCGATAAACAGAAAATTGAACATTTTTAAGATTTACCGATGTTATGAAATACTACTACGGGTAATATTTTTAGTGCGGCTATTTATATATATGTATAATGCGGCATTTTTTCACTTCAAAACAGGACAATAAGGCATTTGTGCGATTTTAGACAATTTGCGCGAAAGAATGATACAACCATACCATACAAAGTGAAAATGGCGGACTGAGCTTAAGTAGGTCTTTCGGGACCTATATCGTTGCCACGTGTCAGACGCTAACTAACAACTTCTACTGTATTTATTATTCTGTGGATTGGTCATTATACTAAACGTCCCGCTCCGGCGAAAACTACTTGCGTGCGCGCTGCACGTGACAGTCCACGCTCAATACGAACCTTGAACGTCCCACCCAACGCCCCTCAGGTGCGAAATTGCAGTCTTAGAATTGACAACGTTGAAGTTGCAAGATGCCAGAGCACAAAAAGCACAAAAAAAAACAACAACTTACAGAAGTCGCTTTATCTTCCATTCTCAGTGATAGTTCAAACAATCCCACATCGATAACGCAAATGTAGTCCTTATTCACATCAGGAAGTTTATCATCGTCCTGTGGTACAGTTACGTTGGGTTTAGTACCATTAATGTAGGAGAGGAACAATGTGCATTCTTGGGCGAGGAATCGTAGACAGGACGTGTTTGTAGCTGCTATGAGGTTGCTTGATACTGTGAAGTTGCCTAGCGTTATCACTGTCCGGATTGGTAGGTAAAGTGGTCTGAAACAAAAGACAATTCAATTTGAGTGCTTCGAAAACGAGTCCGAGGTATTTATAGTGGTAATAACTTATATTCCCAAATATTTTAATTGATTACCTTTATGAAAGAATTTAAAATTTATTTAAAGCATCCTAATCGCCACAAGCGTAATCAGTCTGTTAAACGCAAAGGAGATGCTCTCGGTCAATCTTACGACGTTCAAGCCGTAGTTAACTGCAAAACACATCGTTACTTGGTTTGTTAACCACAGGATGTAATCAATGAAAGGTTTTGAATGAACATAACAAGATTTGGTTATGTGTGATATTAGCAGGCTTCACACAGACACTCTATCGTGAGTGATAAAGCAATCGTGCGTGCGTGTAAAGACGTTGGAAGGACAAGGGAAGCCCGTGCCCGAGCTTATCAGTCGCGCGTGCAAGCGCGCACTATATAACGCGCGACAATTTCACGCATGCAAGCGCGCACTATATATAAAACACGCGGTCTATCCTGCGCTATTAGCCTTTACACCGTCGCTCTTTCCGATGTAACAAAAAGTGATCGCGCACTGAAGAACGTTAGCTTAAAAAATTTCAAACAGGTAATCGCGGGTGCAGCCTATCCCACGCGCAATCCTGTGAAGGTGGCTATTTACAGCGGCGAATAATCAAACTGTTCATCATCATCATGATCGGATGAAGAGTCTGCCTACCAAAGAAGCCGTAATCTCTGGTGCATCAAATCGATTATGGGGACATAGTATATGAGCCTCGTATATTTAAAAAAGGCGAAAAGTAAATGCAAAGAGTCTACAATTCATGCATCGTATTCTGTTATAAGGTGTCTTCTCACATATTACGTTATATCTTAATATGTTTCATAAATTCATTTATAATTCGATACTAATAAACTTATCTAAAAAAAAAAAATATTAACGATCGGGTTGATGGCGATATACTATCGATACGGCATCGTTTTACCGCGGTGGCTTCAAACTTGTTGGCTCAAAGTGTTGGAACGATTTGCATCGTCCAATAAGGAACTAAAAGCTGTCCTGTACTTTCAAAAAGTAATGTAATGATGTAGCTTCATCGCTCTAATTAATTTACAGCTTTTTTCTGTCAAAATCCTCTTCATTTTTATGTTTACGGTTCTTTCTTATCCGATTATAACATTACTATAGCTTTAAGTTACTATTATTACAACATTATTATAGCCTTAAGTCATTGTTACTGTTTTGTAATAAGGTTTATTACAGCTTACCGAGATATGTCATAAAGTCCTGTCATAAAATGTAATGCATTTCACCTAAAATAAAGGTCTGAAAAACAACTTAATCTACGGGTTTTATCTGTTATTAACATAATAAATGTAGGAAGAAACTACAGTCTCATATCTTTCTACATAAGTTTTGTTTATAGTGCCCCTTCCTATCAACCTCTTGGTTATGCGGGGAGGGCACTATGACCTGTGCCAGCAAGCTTGCACAGGGACGATCTAACCCCGGTCAGGTTCTAACCCCGGATCAGGATGTTTGCACGTACTTCATCCGGTTCTTTGTAAGGCTAGTTAGCCTTAAATGAGTCGCCCCGGGTGCACGTACAGCACCCTCCCTATTTTCCAAATAGGTACCGCAGCTGTAGGCACGCTCACTTCCCGACGCCGAAGGAAGAAACTACAGACGATATCAGTTAAGTCATACAATACCTGTAGTCAATGGCACAATCCCAAACGTGGACGTGCAGTTCGGACAGCACGGTGGAAGGCGAATACCCTGGCACCGGGTAATCAAGCACATCTATCACGTCCATCAGTTGCGTTAACCAGGAGATGCCTTTGTCGCCTCTATGGCGGAGTGTTGCTTGCTCAATACCGAGGGCTATGCAGATAGTCTGTGTAACATATTAGCATTATATTATATGGTTAGTTTTTGTAAAGAACTTACTCTATAAATATTTATTTATTACGTTTTCAACATATATCTATTCAGTGAATTTATGACAGACTGCTCGGCGGTATGGATATTTTGTCAATCTTGCTCTGTGTGTGTTGCCATTCAAACCATAACACTGGGGTCAGTGTTAGGGAAAGACAGAATTTCAATGGCCTGGTTGCTTTTTGTCTTATGTGGTTGGCTGGTTTGACGATTAAATTTTAAAATGTTTTATTAAATATAAAAAAATAAGCACACATTAATGAAAAAAAATTGGTTGAGGTTTAATGGCAATTATTGGATAAACGTTACGTTATCAAAGAAAGATTGTTAAAACAATTAGAATGAATGAATGAAATATTCTTCATTGCACATGTAAGTGTCACAGAGTAAGATAATGCACAGCAGGTGGCCTTATTGATAAGTAGAAATTTCTTCCAGGCAACCTAAGGATAGGAATTAAGAGCTAGAAAGGGGGGTGCAGCCAAAGAATATCTTATATAGTGTTTTGTAGTAAATACACTACTGATTAACAAAATAAATATATACATAATAATAAATACTACTAGAATGTATACATACAGATGTACTTATACAGAATTTTGCTATAGTTCAAATATCAGTCGAGGGATGGTCTAAATATTGATTATATTAGCGTTCTACTTATTGGGTATATTAATAATGAGAAATACTTATTTTGTTAACTTACTTTTAAGTTAGGTGTCTCTGAATCGGGATCGACCTTAAGCGCCATTGAGAACATGTCTTTGGAAGCTAGACGTTCCTTTATAACGACTCCTTTGCCCGAAGGGAATATGGTGTTTTTCAAGTTCATCGGCAGCGACGTGCCATATAAGCGTAGGCTTGGCTTTTCGGTTGGTATTGTTATGAGAGCTAAAAAAAATAACGAAGTTAAAATGGGTTGTATATCGTATATGGAAAGGTAAAAAACTAAAGTATCACTTGGCGAAAATTAGTCATATTATACACCCAGGCGCTTTGCGTGGTGCGTTTTGCTTAAGAGCGTTTGCGCACTACATCTGATTCGTATCAGTTCCGAATCGGAGAAATGACGGTCCGAAATGTCACAGGGCTCATTTTATCTCTAGGTGTACTAGGTTTGCAACAGAATGTCGAAATGAGAGTTCAACTTCAAGTGTCGATGTGAATGACAGTCTGAGAATGAAAAGTAGTAGTTGACATTCTTACGAGGATATATTACTTTTTTGCATCTGAAACAACTGTCTTTTTAGTAACGGCAAAAGATAATGACTATTTGAAGGTTTAATCAACATTTCCATTTTGTCTTAATTTCGGGCACAGTACATAAAATCATCTTTTTAATGTAACTATATAAGTAGGTGTACTCACAGTCATGGTACAACGTAGTCTTCCCAGAACGCAAACACATTTGAGCGGTTTTAGGTTTTCCGTTAAGACCGCTCACTTGGCACATTGACATTTTCTGTGCTTCGAGAACCAGTTCGCCCATTTGCCCTGGCACTACGCGCTTGTTGCTGTCCTGTTGTGTAGATATGAATTATTGTATTTTTTTACTGCTGTTTTCCCGTATGTATGTGCCTGATTTTATGATTTAACTGATGTAATTTATATATTTTTGGGATTGTTTCATTACATAATATATTAACGTATAATATTTGAGTGTAGTAATATCGCACATGACAACTAACATAGTATTATCTCAAAATGGTTTTAATTTATATTATCTATTTAGTTTCAAAGCGACAGTGTTGGCGTGTCACTTTGAAATTAAATCGTATATGAACGATACATTAATATAGGGAAATTTGGGAGATAAATTATTAATATAACACAATTTTTGAGATAAAACTATGTTAGTTGTCAAGTGCGATATATAAGAAGGGAATTTTGGATGTTTTGTCAGGCGCCATGACATTTTGTCATTTTGTAAAGGACAAAAAAGACTGATTAATACGATGCTTATAAAATTACCACCGTCGAAAATTTAGCCACGTAATTCGGTGATATATGACTTCCAATTAGCGATACCTGCTTTTTAACAGAAATAGCCGAGATAGTTTATCGACTGTGAACTGGCAACCGGTACTATCTCAATTTTGACAACATTACATTGACTTTACAAGTGAAGAAAAAATTGTTTGCGTCATTTATATACCTTTATATAATTTATATATTTATATAATTTATATAGGTTTATTAAATAAAAATACGTAGTGTAAGTGTAATATAGTTATTTTTGATACAAGTGCGGAAAGGTTTATTATTCACGAGTCTCGACGCTTCTTGGCTCGAGCCAGAGGTGAGGGTCAAGACTCGAGACAAGTGAAAATGACAAATCCGTACGTGTATCAAACGACGTTTTTTTAATACATTTGCGAAAAAACTACATTGAAAGTAAAATAAAACAGTATTAAAAAAAACTCATTTTATTTCTTTGTTTGATAAAAATTCAGAGTACAATGGCAACCGTTGCGATTATTCAGCCACATTAAAATTAGTATTTTAATGGCGCGGCGCGCAGCGGTCTCGCGTAATACTCACCTCCGGTCATTGTTAATACTCAATCAGCCATGTTTATGGAAAATATTTTGGTATTTTTAAATGTAACCCGTTGTTATATAAAACAGTTATGCAATTTAAACAAATAAGATGTTTGTAAGTAAATATAAGTTTTAATGACGTATGACTTACGTCACAAAGCACATAAATATTAAATAAATATACAACCTCTTTAGTTCTATGTTTAAGACTTGAAACAACAGTAAATTTAAATAAAATGGAAGGTAAAAAGCACTAGTGCGAAAAATCCAACTTTCGGCACGATTTGCAGTACGAAAAATAGCACGTTTTGAGCAACTGTATTAAAAAAAATATTTAAAAAGTACGTATTTTTATTTAATAAATCAGACGCTATATAAATGACGCAAACAATTTTTTTTCTTCACCTGTAAAGTCAATGGAAAGGTGTCAAAATTGAGATAGTACCGGTTGCCAGTTCTAAGTCGATATTACTGTCAAATGATTTCATTGCTTCAATCAACTCAATGCTATAAATTAACATAAACACATATTCGACATCTCAACTAAAACTAGAGACATTGTTGGTTAAAATTAGTATGGACACCATTCCTTTCCAACAAAACTATCATATTGGCTTGTAACGAGAATTGCCGTTACAATCTAATTCTCGGATAACAAGTCTGTTAATTTAAAGCCATCTCAGTTGCGTGTCGGTAGAGTCCCAATAACAGGGTTTTGTCAGTTTGGTATTCTGCTAAAAGACAATATACATATGTGGCTTGTCAGTGGAGAGTCGTTGTCGATGTCGTCGATGTCGTTGTCGAGTGTCGATGGTGTATTCTACGACGTTTGAAGAATAAATTGCTGACTAAACGATAAAAAAAATTGAGATATGTATAGTAATTTCCATTGTAAGTTGAGTAAAGCAACATCGAACATTAGTGATTGAATGAATGCCATCGCTGCCATTACATTGACACTCTTAGAGACTTAACTGCCATTGCAACTAGATTATAAGAAATATTATCGTAATTGCAATATAATATTTTAAGAAAATTAGCAGACTTGGGCCCTGAACGCCGTCGTCGAATTTCAACGTTTGGTACTCGATCCACGAGAGAAAACAATTTATGTCTAATTAAATTTGCATTGAATTGATATTCAATTATTTTTGTCAAATTACTCCATTAGTTTGTTATAATTAATAATACAAAGATCGAACACTTATAACAGAAATACCTTCGATCCGGCCGGATTCGAACCGACGTCCTTTAGCAAACCGTGTCAGACGGTATGTCAACTAAGCCAAGGACCTCAAGCATTTTTCCATATGCTTGCTCGTCGGATCTTTGTATTTGGTTTTCAACATTTATGTCTATTTTTAATTTTCGGTAATTCTGGTGGCGTCTAATGATGGCAGGCGTAAAATAAAACTTACCCTAACTGGTGCGTAAATAGTCAGCAATCCTTTCCCGACTTTGAGTGTTAAACAAAAGTTGTGTTCGTCTTTATTCTCAGGCAGAGGTTTGGCGGTGAGACCTTTCTTTATCTTGTTGTCGTAAGTCGAGTAGTAGAGGTTCTCTTCTTCCGATGACGATGAGTCGGAGTCTGAATCTGTAGAAATCAGGGTCGTAAAATATGATGTATAAGATTTATATTAGGGTCTAACTAATGATACGAATGACTTGCATGTGGTAAAGCTTGTAAAATTTATTTTTTTAATAAAAAGTGTTGAGTTGTGATAGGCCACTACACTAATAAAGAAATTGTGAAGATAAAAAAAAGTAGTAGTGGCGATTACGTGCTGGAAACGATCATCTGTCTGTCCTACTAGGGCACAATATATTTGTATGGTTCAGAATTAACAAAAGAAATATTTACAAGTCTTGTACAGGTTGCAATAAAAAGATCCAGCCATTCTTAAACGGGTCATCGTGTGCATGACAACAAATATGTCATCATCACTTATACGTCCCACTGCTGGGCACGGGACTTCTCTCAGGAGCGGTTTGTGCATCTTATTCGACGTGCAGGTTTCGTCACGATGTTTTCCTTCACCGAAAAGCTCATGGTAAATTTCAAATTAAACTTTGCACAGAAATTCCGAGAAACTCAAAGGTGCGAGGCTGGATTCGAATGCACCGCCTCTGCTTGAGCGGCAGTAGGTTAAACCATTAGACTATCTCGGCTTTAACAAATATCTATAGCTAAAGAAAACAAATAAAAAACACTAATACAGTAATTTTGTTTGTGATACAAAATTTCGACATACGGCTTACATTTTGTATTTGAGGAAGATTTGTTTTTTATCACATTCTGTTCATTCGGGAATACAAGTACAATAAATTATTATTATTATTATTTTTTTAATATATAATAGACACACGCTTGGCCACAATCTCACCTGATGTTAAGCGACGATGTGACCGACGATGGGACGCGTTTGCCTAAAAAATGCCTATTCACTCTAGCCTTGAATAGCCCCAAATTGTACTTTTCGGGAAATACAGATGCCGGTAGAGCATTCCATACCTTTGCCGTACGCATCAGAAAGGAGGAAGCAAAGCGCTTAGTGCGAATAGGTGGAATATCAACGACATAAGAATGGAGTGCTCCGGACCTTCTAGTCGACCGAAGGAGGAACGGTGAGGGCGGAACCAAATTGAAAAGTTCCTGCGCACACTCCCCGAAATGTATCCGATTATAATTGTATTGTATATAATTATATATAATTGCTTTTTTGTGCTTTGATAATGATTTTAGCTTACCATAACCACTACCTTTGCAGAGACTGAAGGCTGGATAGATGGTTCCAGTCATGAGCGGGCTAATCTCGTATTGATCTACGATTAGAGGCTCCCACAGAAGTAAGTCAGAGTTTATGCGGTTGTATATAATTTCGTAGAGTTGCTTGGACCTGCGAAAAATTAAAAATATAATTATTTAATAGACGGATCAAATATACAGTGTTTTTTTTAATAGGCTGTCCCATTAAAAATAGGGAAATCCAAAACCACAGAAGATACAAGGAAACTGTCTTAGGAACCAGTCTTTTTTGAGAAAACAATTTTGGCATAGTAAATTTTTTGGTCAAGCGTGAGTTGTCCATAAAAATGACTAAAATTGATCAAATATTGTTTTAGTGCCGATCGACTCGGTTTCATGAAGGAATTTGGTTAAATTTCATAAAATGTATTTTTTTAATGCTGATAGACTGAGCTTCTTATAAGGATGATTTCATGGTCAAATTTAATTAAAAAATTCATTTAAAAAGAAAATAAATAACATTTTATTAAATTTGACCACCTTCTGCTGTTTCGATTTTTTTTCCACTGCAATAAAATCATTCTTATAAGAAACTGAGTCTATCAGCATTAAAAAAAAGTTTATTTTATTCATTTTGCAACTATTCAACTTCTGCTGTCTCGATTTTTTTCGTCCCATGCAATGAAATGATCTCTTCACGAAACTGAATCGATCAACACAAAAAAATATATCATGTTTTATCAAAGGTCATGGAACAAAAGTTGTTGTTTATGATGTTAGTAATCTAATTCTGCAAGGTTGTCAGTATTTTAAAACGAACCCTGTAGAGTATATATCAGAGTGTTTCGCTACACTGATCTCAAAAACCCAACAACAGAGTTTACAGTTGCCGGCTACTGCATCTCCATAGAGCTATGTCAACGTATTGACAAAATTCAATTATTTACATTGAATATTTTAGATTGAATTAACATAAGCACTACGACACAAGTAGTGAAATTTTTGTGTGTGGCACTATTTATGAACGGGTTAAAGTTAACAAAGCTAATATTCAACATTCGAAAGGAAATAAATGTAAAGAAAATAATATTTAACAATTTTCTTACTCAAGTTGTAAGCTCAGAATAGGTAGATTCATATCTAAATGTATGTCAGCATGCTCCACAGATGCTGTGGTGAACTCGGCCATTTCTTCCTCGTTGCCTGGTACGATGATTTCCTCTTCTTGACCTGAGGTTGATAAATTTTGAGAATACATTTGGGCAGTGTCCGTTGCTTATGGGTCCACGGTGAGATGTTTACGTTAATCGCTCTCTTTCGTCGCGGTGATTTATTTTGTAATATTACGTAGGAAATAAATCGCGTATATTTGTTCTTTCAAACTAAACCACGTTTCAGGCCTTTTTACAGATCCCATGATCAGTCGTGACCAAATATAAGCGAATAAACATGACACACAACATTCCTATGTGTAACAATCGCGAAAAGCTAAGAACTCGATTTGTTATAATTACGGCATAAATTTGTAATAATATGAAATTTATGGTATGTTGTTTATTTTTATGTATAACGACTCGGGAAGTAGTCGGTTTACTTCGTTGCGATACTACAAAAGTTTTCAAAACTTTTAAGTTTCATCAGCAGTTACTACATAAATTACGAGTTACATTTTATATAGGTAAGTACTTTTACTATAGTTCATTTCACATAGCAAGGGTGTGGTGACATTTGAGAGTTGAAGTATGTGGGGATGTAGTGACGTAAAATCAAGTGAAAAAAAATAGATTTAAGTATCTACAATTTAAGAACAAATAATAAACAAAATAAGTAGGATTCGATTATTACGTTGTTAAGCTGTTAAAAAACTACATAACAAATAAAAAAACTAACAGTAACCAAGAAAAAGTCAAGAACAATGTATAAAATTGACACCAACGAAAAGAAATTTGAATAATTACTCCAAACTGATATGCAAAACTCAAAACAAAAGAAATCAACCCGCATACAAGGTGTATGCACTCGTATTGAAGCGAGATACACAATAGCCGATTAGATTAATCGATTATATGGTGTCTCTATGGAAAATATATTCCATTATATATTAACAAATGAAGCACTTTTTTGACTTATGTGCTTTAGTCCGCCGGCCCTAATTTTTAACGGATTTATTATTATCTTTATCATTTCTGTTCCAACAAATATTGTTTGTTTTAGATATATTATAACAAATTTACTATTTATTTTTGTAGCTGGTTGAAAGATTAGTTAAAAATAGTACGCATAAATTTGAAATGTCACATTACCCCTCCTATGTCAAATGCCAACAGTCGGATAACTAGTTACAGATGAATTACAACCTATAGTGAGTAGGATAGATAATCTTAATCTTGATGAAGAAACAATATAAATAGTAGTTTACGAGACTGTTACATAATGAAAGGCATTAAAAGACGAGTGTGGGTTACTAGCCTGTCGGCTCGTTTCATAAAAACATCACACGAGTGTTGTAACGCCCAATTATGTACAGTTACATATACTGCTTTATCTATACACGTACTTAGAATAATAACGCATAGAATGATAGTTTCACATCAAACGAACTGTTACAAGTGAGGCAAAAATCAAATTCATGTAGACTAGTTTTAATAGTAGGTTAATGTTCGGTTTTAGTGAATATTTATATAAAAATACAAGTTGAAACGCGTTACTTCCTTGTGGAATGTGATATTAGTATCTATTTTATGTTTGTCCGGCGTATTTTTACACTCATTTACCGCACATTTCGTCATTTTTTGCTAAAATTCTTGAGCTGTTCGCGGTGCAAGTTGACCTTGAGCACTGAAGGCCCGCCCGCTCGTGTAGGCCCATTGGGCGCGCTTCAGTTTGCCTCACTTAGCGTGTGCGGACTAGGTTTCTATGCGTTATTATTCTAAGTACACGTATTATAAGCTCTCTATGATGTGTTCAGGAACCGCATGTTTCGACTGGGAAAATGGCGGCAAATAAAAACTTTTCTCACGCATGTCACACAACCGTAGTTTTATTCAATTCATAGACAAACTAGAGTCGGCCCCAACTACCATATCGTTCGATATCAAGTAACGTGTGAATTCATCAAAATTATTTGCTATTGACATTTCATTTCGAATAAAACTTCATCTCGACTGATATTAGAATTGAGTTCGAATCCAATAGTTTTGTTTTTCAGAGATGTTCGAAATTTGAATGTAATAATAACATCAAATTCGATGTTATTATTAAGCAATAACATTTTCACGGATAAGAAATTTGTTCTAACAAAACAGTTTATCTTTATGCTGGTCGTAATTTTGTGGTTTTTGAATACATCATAGACGGTTTACGATGCGTGTGCAGATAAAAAAAATTACAGGGCAGACATTTTGAGCTCTGGGGACTTTGATGTGTTCAAATCAAGGAACACGAGGAGGGTGACACTGCTATGTCTTCTACAAGATTCTATACATTTTTCCCGGGACTTCATATCAATTTGTCTGTTTGAATTCTATTAAGTGTTTTCTTGATTCTTGATGTATTGTATTTTCTTTACCGTTACCGAAAGACAACAGACGTTGGCATCGACATTCTGTCTTTACGTCTCAATTTTATCGAACTAGTTATTTCTGTCAAATTGTAACAAATAATTATTATGGGAAATGAAACTATTTTTTCGGTTTAAAATCGCGTATACTTGTCGTAATTTTTTTCGAATCTAATTTTTTTTTCGAACAAGCAAAAATATCAAACGGCGGTTTGTTAAAAAAAAATACACGATTTAGAAAAAATTGTTACATTTCCAATGTGCAACCACTGTGAATACCTAATAATTCGATAAATAATTATTAGGAACTGCAACAAAATACGAATGATGTCTTTCGCCTCACGCCTTTAGCCTTTGAGGTTTTGACACTGAATGGACTGGGCGCTCTGGGAGACATCCATAATATTCTTTGCTATAATCATCGAGTTGAGGTTTCTGATAGTGATGGCTTAACTTCTAGACTATTCTCGTTATTACCTTCTGCGTTGGTTTCGTGCTTGGTAAAGCTCTGATGTGCCGTTTTCTTGCCACTGAATGGGCTCGGCTGGGTGCTCTGCAAGTTATTCATGACGTACATTGATGTAGTCATCGGATTGGCATTCGTTGGCTCGAAGCATCGCTCGTTCACAGCGAGAGGGTCGAATGGGCCTTTTGCGGTCTTGCGAGGTTGGAATGATAGGGAAATTCTGCGGAAATTAAGTTTTGGAGGCATTGTTTAAGAATTGATACAAAGATCTAACAATAAAAAGATCTTCATTCGATATGACGGGACTCGAACCATTGTCTGTTGCCACACCGGGGTATTAGCTCTTGTCAAGTGGATCCTGATAAACAATAATGTGTCAGCCAAATGTGATTAGTTTTTTGAAACTTGCACCTAAAGATGTTTTCGTTGTTTTTGATAGTTCGTTCTGAAATTTACATGTAAAATGAAAACTTTTGCTGTTGTCACCTCAGGAATTATGAGTTGTTGCAATTTATTACTATAACTCCCCAACAGCAAAAGTTTTCATTTTATATTGTGCCTTTTATAATAAGCTGAATACAACAACAAATAGCTTATATTTTTAAAGCAAATATTACTCGTATAGTGTTCGATAGCTATTTTACAAATATTGAATTGATCTATTATAAGGGTTGACACCAAGATCAATATATATAAAGTACTAAAATCTCAGTGCAATTCGAAACATCGCCGAGAATAAATATGATACAAGAGTCGATTTAGTGTGCAATCAACCGTACTTACGTAGGTAAGGAGCTGGTGCCGCCATTGCTGCCGATTAGGACGTCGCCTTCCATTGCATCAGCTATAGTACTTCGGGCTATGTGGGTCGACGGTAAGTCATCGTTTTCCTATATATTCAAAGTGTAATTAGGTAGTTATAATATAAAGTCACAGCAATAACCTGGCCTACAACTAGGTATATTTTTCATTAAAGTCTGGTATTCACATTAAGTTTAGTTCTAGACTCGAACAAATAAAAATAAATTGTATCTTAAGAACTTGCGTTCGGCCCAGGTTCGATCGTCGAATTATACTGCCGCCGTCAGTTGAAAGGGCGCATGTGATAAAAACTCAAAACCGAGAAAAATAATGTTTAAAGAATTGAAACTCAAAAATATCTATACATTTTTTTGCGGTTCTAATTCTAAGGAAAAACTAAAAATAGTGACAGATCGGCCAATTTATCACAGCACGGATCACGGCAGTCATTTCATATTACATATCATACATATTTCAAAATTCGTGGGGTCCGCTGGTTCGCTCCGTGGCTTAGTTGGTATAGCGTCTGCCACGGTATGCTAGAAGACGTCGGTTCGAATCCGGCTAATGAAAGGATTTTTTTCTGAGTGTTCGATCTTTGTATTAATAATTATAACAAACCATAATTTATTCAAATTAATTTACAACATGTTAGTGCAAATAATAATGTGCCAACCCTACGCTCCGAGAGACTAAAGGCATTGACGCACTGAACAGGCGGGAGGTGCACTACACGTCTTATTATACTATGGTCGTACGGTCGTTCGTTATTCTTTCGGTTCTTATCGATTCGGATTTACCAAGAATGACTGGTATACTGTACGATATCCATAAACTATCATTACGGTTCAGTTTTGCAATTTAAGCAAATATGTTGACTAATCATGCGTCGAACTTTTGACAGTGTTGCCGTTTGAATAATTGTATCTGTCTGTTAACTGTTTGGTAGTCCGATTCGATATTTATGTTTTCGACAATGTAATCTGTTATTCTTTACAATGCCTAAAGCAGTCAGGCAATGTATGAAATGAGCTCTGTTATACACTTGGTCTAGGTAGGGTCGTACCAGCTTGGAACCGCAAACATAATTACTAATTAGATTCTATGTCTGTAATTTAATACTTTACTACGGCCGGCATTCTACTACTACGGCCCATCGAGTATATAACCAGAAATACTCGATGATACGGCCATACATAGGTATTCTATACAATCTCTAGGACACGTGTGTAATAGGTAGTTTAAAAAATATTAACTATTATATACATTGCCGAAAGAAACCTGGTACTGTAAAGAATGACTAGGTGTCCTATACAAACCCTGAATTATACACATTGCCGTTAATATTTATACATCGTCTTACTTACGTGATAATGCAAATCCACAGTTGTGGCTTTAAGCGTGATTACGGTAGGTAAGGGTCGCACACTCGATACTTGCTGTGAGCTTATTGCAGCGTTTGCAAACTGGAACACGAGGAAGTCCTGCCTCACGCGGCGAATTTCCCGGTTTATACCCGGGCGGAGGTCTGCTATTGGAAATCTAAAGCATATAATTAAGACGTATTTTAGTTATTTTTCATTGTATGTAGCAAATAGGAGTGATTATTCAAGAGATGGCAAAACTTTCTATTTATTTTAAATTTCTTATCAAGGATGTTAATTTGGATGCATTACTTTAAGAATAGGTAAAAGCGAGTGTGTGAATACGAAGAAAATGTGATGTGAAATTAGCCTGCCAAATTTTTATGTACAACACATTTTTTTTGCATTTCAGTAACTTTGTGCTTTAAGATATGAGTTTGAGAAAGTAAGGCGATATGAGAAAGAGGATTATTTGAAATTTTAAAATAGACTAATGTTTGTCTACCGTCAGGTGATCTGGTATTTTGGTAACTCCTAAAGTTTTATTTCTTTTAAAAATATTTTTAATGCTTAACAATAAAACTTAAACTAAATGAGATATAAATAAACCGCTTAAATGGATATGCAGATCCCATTCCGTTTATTCCAGATTTGTTGACAACTCAATTTCGCTAAAGATGTCGATTACGTTAGTTATGATAAGGATGGAAGTGAAGTGCAGTGAAGGAAAGAAGTGATGATGAAGAGTAAACATGTAGAAGTAAAAATTTCTTTAATACATACTGATGGTTAATAGATACAAAAACAGAGTTTTATTTTTTGAAAATTAGATTTTATGATAATATAATTTGTTAATTTTAATGTAATCCAGTCTTTTTAAATGTTTGATTCTATTTTTATTTTAGTTTTCATTATATTTGATTGATTCTATTTCTTTATGATTTATATTTGGGCTTTTACGACTCAAATTTAATTGAATTTTATAAATTGATTCAATTTAATGTTTAATGCAAACTTTAGGTCGCCGTTACCTCAAATAAATGAATTTTATTTATATATTTTATTAAATCATGGTTTCTGAGCCGGTGATCAGACTCGAAGGATTATTACTCAGTTTAAAAAAAAAGGAGGAGGTTCTTAATTTGACTGCATTTTTTTTGCTAAATGCTGGCGTAACATGGTTGCGCGATAACTCCAGCATTTGTGAACTAAATTTTATTTATTAAAACTGAACTTTTTCTGAACAAAATCTAAGTAATAAGTCAAAAAAGGAATTATTTTGGATTGGGCCAATATTCTCGATAAGCAGCTATATGTGGAATAATGTTAAAATTGGAGTATTTATGGAATATTATATGGAATTGTATGTTATTCTGTATAGGTGTACATTTAACCTATTTATTGGCAATGAAACGTACCTGAGTATAGCACCAAGGTCAGGGCATTGAAGCGTGAAGTTGAGTTGATTCTGCGGTGCGGGGGTAGCGGAAGGCGGCACGGGGTGCGAGGGGGGCCCGCCGAAGAACGTCGCCGTCATGCGATCCATAACAGTTAGCTCCACGTCCACGATTAGTGGCATGCATTTAACACTAGGTACAAGGAATTTCAAAAATATATGAGTTTCGTATTCAAGTCATTTTTTAAGGCTGGATACTGATGGCTTTGTAGAATAGCGGCCTATTTCAAATTTAATCACCTAATTGATCAGAAGATAATTTGAAAACAACTGCAGAATATCTAAAATACTAAATAGATTAATCGTCTACAGGCCTATGTTGTGACGTGATTATTTTAAACTTTTTAAATTTTGTGTAATAATAGGACAAAAACTAACTATTTAATAAATACTTCAAAAGAAACGATATATACTATATATATGTAAGGGCGCGTTCCCATTATGTCGTGACTACAGATAGGCGTGCAGTTTAAATTATCGTGGCTTGTATATTTCAATGAAGTTGTTCACATATAGTACAACACGATTACCTGTCGTTCACGACTTTTTTGACGTTACGACGATAGACTGTCAAGACAATGGGGAGAGCTAGAACGACAGTCGTTCGACGATAAATAAATCGTCACGATACAAAAACATGACGACAGATAATTGCAGCTACTATTATCGTCACGTTTTATATATCGTTGTCTGCACATGTTCTGTTCGTTACTCTCCCCTCAGGTCCCCTGCGCCCTCGGCTGTGCTTCCAACGACTTAATAAAATAAAATAAACACGATTAAATAAAATAAAAGAAATAAATAACGTGCATCGCGTTTGTATCGCTGCAGACACGCTACTAAAAATCGCCGTGTGTAACCGCTCTTAGGGGCACTGCCCCTGCGCCCGTCACCCTGAGACATACGTTGACAAGTCCCATGTGCCTGCAATTTCACCAACTATCTTACATTTCCAAACCGGAACGCAGTAATGCTCACATTACTGCTAGACGGCATAAATAGGTAAGGTGGCAGTATTTCTCAGTACGACCTCTTTCACAAGGAGCTCTACTGCTACTAATATTTACTTTGTGTTGCTGTATAACCTGTGTAGCTAAACTGTGCAGTTTTGTATGACTAGCCTTGTTAAAAGCTCTTGTTAAGGTGTAGTGTGTAACTTACGTTATATCGGTGGTAGGGTAGACGAGTTTCTTCTCGCCGGATATTCGCATGAACTTGGATGTTTGTTTGAAATGTACTTTTACGTTGGCTCGAGACGAGCCACTGGATGACGTCGACTTTCTGTCGTCTTCATCTGCAACAAATATGAGAGTAATGTGAAAAGCAATTACACCTAAGTCTGGTAATTTTCATATTTAAAGCTTTTATTTGGAACATTCATCCACAAGGGTTAGTGACTGAACACTTAAAATTATGGTTAGTTATACAAATAATAATTATACTTCATTCTTATTGATATGCATTCGAGTCCAGCAGGCTTAGCATGAGCCCGAAGATAAAAGATATCTCTTCTTGGAACTGTCATCGAAGAAGAGATAACTTTTGTCTTCCGGCTTATGCCAAGCCAGCAGTGTTCGTGAAAGGAGCCCTGGACTCTGAATGCAATAACACTCAGGAGGCCGTTACCGCTGCCACGAATTCTGCGCTTGACGCGCACAATCTAGGGATTCACTGTGTTATGAGTCTCAGAAAAACAAAATTCGCTTGAAGAACACTACGCTCACTGTTCTCTCTTTCTCCGTTCGGGTAACCTATCACAAACCCGATTTTTTTCCGAAATAACGTTTGTTCGAATTTTCATTACACCGAAAATCGAATTCTAACGAAACCGTTGTTCAGGATATGTTGGATGTTTATCGCAAAGACACGATTAGGTTCGGTTAGGTTATGTTAGGTTTAAAAGAAAAAAACATTTTCCTCTCAAAACGTTATTTCTGGAAAATGTAATTTCGGACTATTGATAGGAGGTAACCCTCCGTTCGACATCGGTCCGAAAAAAATACTGTCAAATAAGTAACACTCGACCAAATTAAAAGAAGTATGACGCGAATGAAGTTTCATACTTGACACTTTTTTGTGATTTGGTCGAGTATTACTTATTTGATGTGGATATCCAACGGAAAACGAGAGTAGACTACCTGGTTTGGGTGTATTGGATGGTTGTAGAACACATAAAATAGATCTAATTGTTGGTCGTATCGAGCATAGAAATCAGTAGGGTTAGCACAATAGGGCGCGATTTGCGCGAGAGCTACATAAAGCGCGAGATACTGCTATTCTCGCTTTATGTCGTTCTCGCGCAAGTCGCGCTCTACCCTGCTACTACTACTGGACTGCTTCATGAAGCATCTCGCTTAGCGAGTGCTAACTACTGGATCATGGAGGTCGTCTTAAAAGATGCGAGATTATTTGCATTATTATGTGGTATGGGGCGAGGCTAGACGAGCGTAATTTTATAAGAGTTAGGAGTCGCGTTTTTCGACTGAAATTCGACGCCTCGCAAGCCGATTGGCTGTTATGTAAAGTCACCACTTTACAGTTATTGAATGTATTAAGTTATGCACATAAAGAACAATGGCGATATAATGGTTGAAAGAATTCTTTAGCGTCTTCTAGTGTCATAATTACAAATATCAATAAAATAAATTAATTCGATTTTTCAAATTATACTAAAAAGGCTTGTCCAAGTTTGAAAATACAATTCAATATGTGAATTGAACACTAATTCGTATGTAACCTAGACAGATATCTACAACTGTTAATTCCTTATCGTTGAGTGACATCTGACCACCATTAATTACAAATTTGGATTATTTTATCCAATTTTCTTTCATAATCCATTCAATTTTTTAAATTATACTAAAAAAGCCTGTCAAAGTTTGAAAATAAAATTCAATTCACATTTGTCTAATTAGTATGTAACCTAGACAGATATCTCCAACTGTAAATTTCTTAAGGTTTGAGCGACATCTGACTGCCAAGAGATTTTTCAATACCTATCTATAGATAGGTCCAAATTAAGCTAGTTCACGTAATATCAAATTTGACAAACCCAAAACATATTTGACCCATTTGCGATAAGAGATTAACTACTTTATACAAAAAATAAAGTAGATAATTCCTTGTCCAAACATGCCACTCGAAAAAGTGATAAAACTGATATAAAAGTTCCTGATATCAGGGATAGATGGCATGTTTTCACAAAAAAATAATTAATTCCTGAGTTACCAGGTATGGGATGTATTGCCGCGTGACGTCATCACGTCACCATCTTGCAATTATCGAATGATATTAAGTTATGTAACTTACCGACAGATTCAAATCTAATCAAATCGAAGCCCTCCGATATGCCAGTTCCTTGTGAGTACAAACACTCGCGCATTAACAGGCGTCTGATGGACGCCTCGCAAACCGTCTGACTTCCGTGTGACGTCACCTTCTCGCTGCCATCGAGGCTCATTTCGGATGTTATTAGCCTGGTGAAAATAATTATTGATAAGGTATATTACAGGTGAAAAGACGGGACTGAGAGGAGCTACACCATCCAATCTCAAACAAAAAAAAAATGGTACGTAATGGTAAAAAGTGGTAGCAAAATATTTGAGCTTTCAAATATATGTGCAGTTCTGATAAAAGCAACTTATTTCAATCATTTTCGCTTTGAAAAAACATACCTCAAATGATTCTTTCCTGTAGCTCTATCAATAGCCTCATTAGCTGCCTGAAACTCATGCTTCCCGCCCTCGCTGATGATGAAAGGTAGCAGATTTTCGAAGAACTCCTTCGAAGCCCCTTGCATCTTGTACACGCTTGCTGGCGATATACATTCTATGCCCATTGGTGTTGTGGTAAGAATATCCTGCGATATCAAAATAATAAAAACCGGTTTTTGACTTTTGATTTTTATCACGAATTAAGGACGTGGAGTAAACAATAAAATGTAAATCTGTTTTGACCCTGATTACACATTTTTCTCTGTCATGCTGGCAAATCGCCAGGTGAGAGATCAATCTGGACAATGGGAAAAAATCCTATTTACCAGACAAGTCTGACCATCAATCTGACCAACGAGAAGCACTGAACTAAATTAACTCTCCTATATTAGTTCGTTCCCTAAATTATTTCACAGAACCTGAGACCTACCACATAGTGTCAGATTACTTCGCGATTGCTTTCAGGGCCTTCTTTAAAAAGTGAATTTCTACCTTGTGTAATAGCACGCAGGACATTGAAGCGATTCTGAAGCTAATGTGAGAGACTTCTGCAGTCGGATCACCATCGATATGGGGAACTGAAACAATAAACATTCATTATACCTTAACTGCCATAAACAATAAGTTTATATAACACTTGCATGGTTCACTAGAGACCCCCCATCTTCACCAATCAATTACAGATCAAGAATCAAACGCAGAGGACCTGGGTTCGATTCCCGGGCTGAGAGAAATATTTGTGACCTACATTTATTTCTCTCGTGAATTTGGGTGCAATTTGTGGTTGTCTATGTGTGTGTCCATGGCATCCACGATACAGGGTTCCCCTAGTGTGGGCAAAAAAGTGATTTGGCGTCCTCACTACGCAAATCACATGTTAAGAATCGAAATCGTTATCAGAGGGTGCCGTGCAACGATTGCGTTCCTACGATGGCAGGTTAAAAACGTTTAAAATTATTAATTTCAACAAACGTAGAGACACATTGGATATGATTTTTCGATAAAAGATTATCCGTTATAAAATACATTGCTCCTCACTTCATTGCCATTTCAAACTTAAAGTGCCGCATAAGTATCCCCACCACAGAATTAAAGCTCTCTTTTCGACGCTTGCAGGAGAGTAGCGGATCGCAACTTTCCAGTTCTTCAGTTTTTTTTATAATATCAAGTGACGGGGTGAACAAGTCGTGCGCCTGATGGTAAGCTTTATACCTGTCTATAACAGTTACAGTGCCATTCAGAGCTTCAAATCGGAAAGATCTGAGGGGCACTGCGCCCGTCACCTTGACACATAAGTTGACAAGTCCCAAGTGCCTCTAATTTCACCAGCACCCTTACCTTTCAAACCGGAAAGCCAAAATGCTGACATTACTGCTTGGCGGCAGAAATAGTTAAATTGGCAGTACTTCCTTGGACGAACTCTTTCACAAGGACCTCTACTGCTACTCTACTAAGTGTGCGACGTGTTTACCACTGTGGTTAAAGGATTTACCGATTGGCGTAAGGTACTGTTGTCCAGAGTGTTCCAGAAGTATAGGGGGGAAATTAAGTAGATCATTGCGGGGAGGTCCTTTTCGTGCACTCCAGTGCACTAAACAAAGAAGACTTATGAAGAGTGTGACGGGTTTCTGTCTATAATACAGCAAACGTCGGCTGACTTTTTATACTAAGTGATGAGACGAACAAGTCGTGCACCTGGTGGTAAGCGACATGCCGACAGTTGCAGTGCCACTCAGAGCTTTAAACCGCAAAGATCTGAGGGGTACTGCCACTGCACCCGCTACCCTGAGACATTTTATTTTCGTTTTATTTATTAGCAACACTAACATTATATTCACAAGACATTTTTATGTTATTTAACTAGTGTGTTTCCACGTTAAAAACACAACAACTTTAAGTGTTGACGGCAATCTCAAAACAACAGAGACAAATAAATAAAAATTTTCGACGAATAACATACATATAAATTAAATTACATAGTAATAGAATACACTGAAAAGTACCATAGGAATTTAATTAATTTCTTTTCGAGTTCCATTTACTTTTGAAGGAATCGATATTATCACTAAATATATCTAAATCTGGACATTAAGTTGACAAGTCCCATGTGCCTGTAATTTCACCAGCACACTTACCCTTTAAAACCGGCACGCAGTAATGCTCACATTACTGCTTGGCAGCGGAACTAGGTAAGGTGGCAATACTTAATTGGGCGAGTTCTTTCACAAGGAGCTCTACTGCTACTAGACTGCTGTAGTACTGCTATGATATAATGTAATATACCACTGACCTTTCTTATTACGTTTGATCCTGGGTTGCGTGCTTGGCACGTTGACGCTGGAACTCATGCTGGTGCCCATTGAGCTGACGGACGACGAAAAACTCTCCGCCATTTGGTTGCCAACGGATGTCATTGGGTGGAATCTTTCGCTTTCATTGTCACTGTCATCTGCGGAATCACTGAGTATTAAGTAGTGCAAAAATGCTATTTGTTAATCGTTAGAGACACACGACGTCTCTTACGATTTTGGCACTTTAGCGTCTTAGAGCCACACGGTGTCTCTAACGCGTAACTATGTTATCATCCAAATTTGATTCTTTTTTAATTAATAAATATCGTTATAGGGACACCGTGTGTCTCTAGAATGCAAGTACAGTAGGCTACTCGAAGTACTTATTCTACTACTAGGCAGATGAATATCATTGGTTAATTTTAAATTTTAATCTTGCGACTTGGCACCTTTTATGGTGAACGTATGTGTATAATAAAGATTATATTGTATTATGTTCATAGTATATCTTTTTGATAAATAAAGAAGTCGTTTGTTTAAGATATTCATTCAGTAACACATTCAGACAGTAATTTTGTTTTACTCACCAAAGCTGGGTCCAGACCATCCATACATGCCCACGTTGGGCCTGGCGCTCTCTCTCTCTAAGTTTCCCAACAGCTGAGCTTCAATCAGCTGGAAGTCAGCTCGCTTCATCGGCTTACATTGCATATTACCTCCGTTCGGTCTTAATGGAATGTTACTGGAAAAATATTTTCAAAATATGTTCAGGCAACTACAGACTAAGTGAGCTAAAACGATTCCGTAGCTCACAAGCATATACAAAAAATGTTTAACTAAAATAATTTTGGAGAAAAAAGTGCTAGGAAATATACAGGGAAAATCGTTAAGTCTATTCAGGCGATTATTCCATAAATATAAGACATATCACAAACTTTCAAACTGATATCGAGACTGTATTACCTAATGAGTAAATCGACATTAAAAAAAAACTAGAAATATTAAATTTGACCCACTTTTGGTGTCCCAATTTATTTCGTCCCATACAATGAAATGATCCTTATATGAAACGGAGTTGATCAGTACTAAAAAATTGACCAATTTTATTCATTTTTATGGACAAGTCACACTTGACCAAATAATTGACCATGCCATTATAGTTTTATTCAATTAAAAGATAGTTTTATTACATTATTTATAGCCGTTTTGTTATCTGTTAACCTCTTACAGAAGGAAAAATAAAGCGTCTATACGAATGTCATGTTAAATGTAGCGTTTTATGTTAAAATTTAGGATATTTCTAGTTTTATTTAAAAAAGTTATTGATGTCGTTTTACTCATTAGGTAACGGATTTTCGATATCAGTTTAAAGCTTTTTGATAACTCTTATATTTATGGAATACCTGAGCTAGTGAGCTTCAATCCATTACACGTCTCCCACCGGCCTAGTGGAGGTTAGAGACTACACATGTTCTCCAGGGCTGTGAATCTTCTTTGACATGCATGTTTGATCATGATAATTTTATACAATTTACTTCATAACGTTAATTGTAACGATTACACCCTGTATATGTATATCGCACCGTCAACAAAATCTAATTAATAAATAAATAATTTTTGATAATATATTTTGTACATATGTTTAAGAAATTAAAGAACAAAGGCACAAGCACAAATGGACGCAACTTACGATGTGATTCTTAATTAATAAAATACAATAATTGTAAATAAAAAAATAAAATTAATGATATATAATTATAAATCTTATCTACCCGTACAAAAACACAACACGTTTTGAGCGGCCGCCTACAGGCAGAATGTTGAATTATGTAGCTTAAAGCTGTCATTCAATCGTCACATAGACAGTTTGTATGAAGTATTCAAACTTATGTATAACATCAAGCTTATACCATTCATGTAAACAAACAAATATGTATAAACAACCGCTGAAAATATCATTTTTGTAATTAAATATATATTAGACATCATCACATACGTTCTTCTAAACCCAAAGTAACTAAAGCACCTGTGTCATGGAAATCGGGATCAATGACGGTACTACAAATACCTAGACCCGAGACTATACAGAAAAGTTAGTTTCTATATTGACCCGGCCGGGGATCGAACCCGGGACCTCAGAGATGGCGACATCATAAAAACAGGGGGTGTAAGCCACCCGCCCACGGAGGTCTACAAAGTTAGTAATTGTTTAAATATCTTCTTAAGTCCTGACAGGGGCACAACACGTGCCTAATTTTTCCCTCTTATTTGTAATGAAACATTAGTCCATTGTAAGCCCAATCAATTTGTAAAATATCAAACAAATAACTTAGTATAATACAAGACAATATTGTCGTATATTTGATTATACTGCAATATTTCGTCATGAACTTTACAGCTGTGTAAATATCACTCCATTATTTATCATGTGTCCCATCGTAATAAAAGTATGTGCAGTTGTTGTTTTATGGGATGGATATTTACCTTCGGTCTTCTAAATGCGGTTGATTTAAAGCCTCAACGAGCTCAATCAACGTATGTAGCTGCCTCGGTGACAGGAAGAAAACAAAGGAACCCAGCAACATTCTCACTTCGACCTTAGGTCCTTCTATTTCTTCCGAATGCTTTATTTTCAAGGCCAACTCCTGTTGTCCAGTTAACTTAGCAAACAGTATAGGGTCTGGTTGCATAGCCTTTTCTTCAGGCGTTGCCTCTCTTATGAATTCCGTTGGAGGTTTTTCTTCAATTACCTCCTTTATAGGGTCAGGATCAATGGTTGATATTACGCTACGAGTTTCATAGAACACGTCAGATACAGCACTTTGATAGTTTGCCTCTGACGACTCAATTTGTAAGTCTTTATCGACTAGGGAAGCCGACGATTTTTCCATGATGAGACTTCGGGCCATAGTGCGTAATTTTGAAGGGAATTCGTCTGTATAAAGCGTGATACCGTTGAATTTTATTTTTTTGTTTGTATAAGTTGCTACTATGTACGTCTTTGTCTTTTCCGTTTCAGTTACGTCTGGTGACGGCTCCGAGCCCGCTTCGTCAAAATAATCAGTGCTGGAAAGCAGTAAGTTAATAATTGAATGTATTCATTTACTTATTTTAAAGTATATAACCACGGAAGAAAAAAAGAATGGAAGACCAGAACCGATGCCGCTAAAACTCACACATTCTTAATTTCAAACAATACAAAATCTTGATATTGATTGGTCGTAGTTTCAAATTTATAAAGAAATAACAAACTCTGGATTGTTAACATAATTTAAACTTTACCCTGTTGGCATATCGGTGAAAGTTCAATACCATGAATACCTATAGCCTATTATTGTCAGTTACGACGTTTTGATATTATATTGAAATTTCAATCAATTTGCTGTCATGTATCGGTTAGTTGCTGGACGAAGACGCATTGAAGTTATTAATTTAGTTCTCCAAAAAAGAAGCGACCATATTGCAAGGGTGCTTTACCTTCGTTTCTTGTAACAAAAAAATATTTCGATAAACAGAAAATTGAAAATTTATTAAAATAAGACTTTCCGATGTTATGAAATACCACCACCGGTATTTTTGGTGCGGCTATTATTGTTGCACTGCAAAATAGCACAATAAGGCATTTCTCATGGATTTTAGTGAATTTACACGAAAGAATGAAACAACCATACCACACAAAGCGATAATGGCGGATTGAGCTCAGGTAGGTCTTTCGAGACCTATAGTTGGCATGCGTCAGACTCTAACTAACCACTTTTTCTGTATTTATTATTCTGTGTGTAAGTTATACACATATTAAAACGTTACACATTCATGTTGGGTAAGTATTGGCAAAATTGCTTCATTAAATTGGTTGTGCCGGTGAAGTTAAATGGAATACATATAAAATCTAGGGAGTCAATTAACTCTGTTTTGGACCAAAGGAGTGTATTTAATTAATACCTTAACTCTGAACTTATTGCCGAAGAAAAACGTTATACCTAAGCATATATACAACTAATAAGCATTTAATTACTTTATTCAAAATTGTTGTTCGTTTGCTGTATCTAAGATATAAAGATCAAAAACTCAATATAACTATGCATAAAGTAACAATGTAACTAATTATGATTCATTGACAGTTACTTTCCTTTAACGTAGCTATGTCGTCGGTTTGCATTAATTAAGACTACTTCGTTTTTATGTAATACCTAATGTATTATTGTTAACTCTTTTAACTCAAAAATGCTCATAACTTTAGTTTTAGGAAATTGGAAGTTATTGCAATATTACTACGATCTTAAATATAGTTTGCTATCCCGGATTTCAAAAAAAGGAGGAAATCTCCTCCTCTCAATTCGACTGTACTTTTTTTGCGAGTATGTTAAGCGATTACGATTACCATTTGTGAACAGATTTCGATGATTTTTTTTTTCGTGGATAAGGAATACCTCAATAGTGGTCCCGAACAAACTTGAAGAAAATAGTCCAGCACCAAGGGTGGCAATGTAGGTGAGGAATTCGGTTTATTATATTTCACCCATGTTCGATTAACCGATTTCAATAAAAGATTCTTTTTTATAAAAACGTTTCAAGTGGATTTACATACGAACGCTCCACTGCTGGGCACGGATAATTTCTAGAGATAGACTTTTGAAGACATTCGTGCATTTGTAATAAGATGGCGTCATCAATGTATACAGCGTGCTTTCCAATACCTCAAAGACATATCTTACACAATCTGATAGTATTATATCTAATACATAAACTTTGTCAAAGCCGCCTGTGACCATGTGAAGATTATTCTAATCAGCAGAATAGAGGTCAGACAAACACGGAAATAGTGACACTGCGAAATAGTGAATTACATAATACGTGAACTACTGTATAGTTCAGTAAACCTGTACTTTATAGGATAAATTATTACAGAGTATACAAATTTACCGATTACCAGGACTGTCCTTTTCCTAATTTTAAAATTAATAATATTAAAAATTTACAAAAAGAAACCTAGAATAGGTTAACTTATAGCATCGAAATACGTAATATAATCTTAAAGCAGTATACAAGAAAATTAAAGACGATAACTTTCACAAAACTAGAGCATCTATAAAGATTTTTAAACGGGCTGATTTGATAATGATTCTTAATTATTACACAGAATAAAATTGTAATAAAATTTGACTAAGAGGCACTAAGTTTTCGCGGTCTCTCTACAGTGATGGATGTGTTTTATTTAAAAAAATAAATTGCTCTCTGTCTGGTCTGTATGGCACACAGGCGCCTTTGTCTTTGCTAGTTTAAGAATGGAAAAAACAGTAAAAAATAATATTAAAAAAATAAATAAAAAACACCAAGGACCAATTTAAATTTGGAACGTTTTCGTGAATTTTTTTACATAAATTTTAATGACTAATAGCCTTTCCGTCGTTCAAGCTAAACTTACTACACAGGGCAGTGCTACTGGCGACTTAAATCAGATATTTTTCGTTTCGTATGGGGATACTCCGATATGTTATTTATAGCGCTTACGTCGCTTCCGTCAATGTTCAAATGTTGTTACACGTGGGCACATTCCATTATCAAGTCATGTGCATTTTCCATTAAGCCGTAGAGCTAACAGATTGGCCATTATTGTGTTACAAAACAGCAAAAAAAAACAACATTTATCCTATATCATTTCCTGCTTCACGTTAATGAAAATCAACACAAAAACTTGGAAGCACTATAAATTACAAAGCGATAAATTACCACAGTGATAATTGTGAATAGGTTCAGCAGTGGTACATATATGGGTTGATACAGCGACAGATAACAAATGATTACACAAAGAACAGCAACCTAATAGTAATAATTAATTAATGTGTACCCTATGTTTTGAAAACTTTTTATTATTGATACAGAGAACGAACAACATAAAGCAAAATTCCTTCACTATGACTGGACTCGAATCAGAGTCTGTTACTATTCTATGGGCACCTCTCTTAACCAACTGAGCTATAGAGTATTTCCACAAGAAATGTGTGAATGCATCGCAGCAAAATATCTGATATACAATAAATAAATATTGCAAAAAATGTTTACCTGGCAATGCCAAAAAAATTACAAACTTAATGAAATAAAAAAATTACGTTCTTTTGCAGAAACGATTCTACTCGACAAAAGTAATTTTCAAAGTTACATTACAATATACAAAACTACATAAAAAGGCTGTAATTATATGTAAAAATGTGTGAAGTAATTGTGGGTAATATCATTACTGCATAAATAAGTTTGTTACTTACTTTTCTATGTGAATTTCTAATGCTATACCCCTTTCGCCATTCTTAGGAACATGTTCTATCCGTATTTTTGTATTGACGAATTTCACTTTAACTCTACTGAGTACTGAAAAGAACATACAATACTTTAGTAAAATAAGAAATAACATGGAAAATACTTATGTAATACATTGCCCTCCAATACCAGTTTTTTGCAACAAAAACTATCAGCGCCAAAGTGGTGTAACCTGCATTTAATTTTATTGATGCAATATAACTTTAAAAGATACTAAAAACGGACATATTATAATTATTTTATATTTGGAAGTTTTTTTCATGTTTATAAAATATTTAATTAGTAATTTTTTTATACCCAAAAATAACATTTTATTATAAAATAATTAGAAAAAAGATCGAATGTGAGTTACACCACTATTGCGCTGCTAGCCTCTACCATATATTTATATACCATAACATGTCCCAGTTTGTTTTCAATCATCTATACAAACATTTTTTAGTAAGCGCTGGAAAAACAATATAGTTCAGGCACATTCATTGCCACTGACAAAGGCACACTGAGTCCATTACAGGTCAGGGAACTTTTGTACACCATAGCTCCAAAGAAATGAACTGCTTTGAAAGTAAGGCAGGTGTTACTTCTGTGTCGGTAGTCTATAGCTGTTGGCTTTAATAAATAAAGCCTCAAGTCATCAAGAAGTGTCATATTCTGTGAGTTCAATTGATCTGTTGATATTCATAGTTGGCTTTTCAGTTTTCTATTCTTTATACAATATAAAGTTAGTAAAAGTCCTCAGTACAACCAGAATAGTTTCAGTCTATCAATAACTTTATATAAATAAAACTTACTTGAATCTATGGCATGGGCGAACATTTCGATACCCTCGACAGGGTTTGATTCTAGAGTGTTCTGGCCCTCTTCCTCCCGAAGACACTCCTCAGCAAGCTGCATGGATGAGGACATGGAAGACCACATTGACTCCAACATTGAAGATGCTGTGGAATACATAAAGTCACTAATTTCTCTTTTAAGGGATGTTCAGTTCTATTGAATAAGATCTTGGGACTCACAAAAAAGTGTATATCTAAAAATAGTTTATATTTAAGTTATTACAAAGTACAACCTTAAAAATTAGGTTAAGGATTCCGACAAATAGTTTGGAAGTTCAACATCAGGGTTCTTTTATAAAAGTAAAATTCATATTAGAGAATTACTTATAAAAACCTATCAATATTCAAATTTGTAACAGCAAATCTGACCTATATACACTCTGCCCTTCCTGTCATAAACAACGCATTTGCATTTTGGTAACTTTCGAGATATTGGCACCTAAAGTTGCTTTTCCTTTGAATAATTAAATTTAAAACTAAAACTTAACATTAAAACTGAAACTAAACAATGTATAAAAATACCATTTTGCTGATTCCAAATATGTTAATTACTTCCATTTAGGTTTCACAGACAGCCCTCTATGGGCAGCGTTCATGGAAGTGGAGGAAACGGCTACGCACATACAATACTACAATAATCTGGCGTGGCTAACTACAGGGTGAAGTACCTTGGAGTGCCGGGGTCGCTCCCCGAAGTCTTCAGCAAACCCAGGAGGTTGCCGAGATTCCTGGAGGAGATTGCGTGGCACGAGTAAAACCCTGCACCCACCACACACAAAATAGGCGCCTGGACGTGAAGTTCGGACACCGGCCCGTCACACCATACCATACCATGTTAATAACTCAATCTCGCTAAAAATGTCAATAACGTTGTTTATGATAAGGACGGCAGTATTTCCATTAGTCGTGACCCCTCCAAGGATGTAACATGTACATATAAAACATTTATATATATGAAAAGCAATGATCTCACCTGGCTCAGCTCGTACTTTAGGCTGCACTGTGAGGGATAATCCATCAACTTCAACAACGGAATCATCCTTCAGCAATGTAGACCATGGTATGGTAACTGTGATTTTTTCCATGTGACCATCTACTATCTCCAATGGCCAATTCTGCGAGTCTCCCAATTCATTGAGGGCCTAGGATATAACATAGTCACTATATACTTAATTTTTTTAGATATAATGTCACAAAAACTTATAGCTATCATTGTTGTAGTAGCAAGTTACATTTATAATTACCAAAAAATTTCAGTTATACTCGCATGTGACAAAGAAAATATATTAAAAAGAAAATAATATAACCAAATAAAAATGAAGGTAATGCAAAACAGAGGCACAGGAAAACATACAAAGGTAAACCTTGCTAATTACTCTACACAAGAATATTTCTCCGTAATTCATTCAACATGTGATTATTATCAGTCTAATGTGCGCAGTTTAGTACAACAGCTTGTCCACTACTTTAATGAGTTACAGCATGCAATTTATGAAACACACAATGGACCAACTGACATGCACCATAGAAAAAAGAAAAAATACTGCTGAGAAAGTCTGATGCTGTGCTGAGAGCAGTGGCAACATGTGCAGGAATCAATGTCACATTTGACTATACATGCTGTATGAACTACATCATTTGGTTGAATCTAACAATCTAAATTACTTTGTATGTTAAATTATTGTTGAAACATCATCTTTATAGTTCTGAAAACTGTTTATTTTTATTTCTCTGTCATACAACTGCTTGTTTTACTTTAATTAGGTAAAATATTTGTCATTATAATACGTGTAAAGTAAATTCGGTGGAAGACAATGTGTTTGTCATACAGTTGTATAACAAAAACTAGTGCGGGATTAACACCCGCTCTAGTTTTATACAATAACCTCATCTTAAAATGTTCCTAGCTGATTAATGTCATATAGTACTAAGAGACTGTGCAATGAATTGTCTTGAATCTGTGAAGATTTTCATAATAATAATAATTATCGAGTTCGTAGGTTTTCGCGACTGTTACACATAGGAAATGAAACCATTTTTCCAGATTTAAATCGCCTATATTTGTTTTTTTAAACAAACCAGAAGTTTCACAATATCGCCAAAATATAGTATACCTTCTTTCTTGGACCATCTTAATTCTTTTAGTACTAACATCGAATTTACTATAGAACAAGAGAATTGTGGTACTTTAGCTTTCTTAGATGTTTTAATTATAAGAAATCCTAATAACACCTTAGGCCATACTATGGTGATAGGATAGGTACCTCAATGGTAATTCCTATCACCATTTTAGCCAGTTAGCTACTGTGGGCAAATCTTTGTTTCAGAGAGCATATGGTATCTACGGCAGTAATCATCTGGCAGGGGAACTTCAGCATATAAAGCAAGTCATACAATAAGTTGAAGATTCCACACCAATGCCACAGTCGCCGTGTGAAACCACCAGCAGTCGAGCGGAGACCTTCCATTTTACATTACGTGAGAGATGTTACAAACAAAATCAGAAACATCTGTGAAGACCTATTTCAAGCCTCTGAGGAAGATTTTCAGTTCCCGAGACCCGTGAAATGTAATGTGCCCTTACAAAATGCGCGAGTTTATAAGCAAGCTTATAAACTGTGAGTCTGGTTTTTCTTATATTGGACAAATGAAGCGAAGTATTTGTACCCGTGTCAAAGAACATACAGCTGATGTCAAACACCGTCGCATAATCAAGTTTGCAGTCTGCGAGCACGTCATGGATAAACTTACACATTCAATGAAGTTTGACAAACCCCAGGTCCTTGCAAAAGAAGGCCATTATCTCTAAATTAAAAACATCAATTACAACAGGGATGGTTTCTCCATACCACAAGTTAAGGAGTCAGTATTTCCACTGATGAAAAATCCCATACAGACATAAGACTGCAGTACTAATTAATATGTTTTAATTTATTTTAATTTCTAATGTAAATGTAAATTGGAATGTTTCTTTCTAAAATTAAAAATAAGGTATTTAATTAATAACTTTTGTAACTATAGTGAAAAAATAGGGTGGTCAGCATAAATATTAGACATAACTGGTTGATGACTGTACCACCTCAGTCAACCATGACCATGGGACTTCTAAAGGGCCCAAAACGTTGGTTTGTTTGAAAAAACAAATATACACAATTTAAATCCGGAAGAAAGTTTAATATATTAGTAATTGATTCATAGTTTGCATATTACTTAAAGTAGCTATAGCAAATGTCAATCTTGATTACTTCAATAGCTCAAAAAACTAATCATGGTAGGTATTTAAGAAGAATTAAATTTATTACTACCTACATTTCTTTATTTAAAAAAATATTTAATTCAATTACAGATAATGAAACATATCATGATAAATAGCACACAGATGTATCAAAAAAGAAATGATAAAATCATAAGTTGTTTGTGAACCACTTTAATTAATTACAAAATGAAAATTATATTAGCTGTATAAAACAGTAGTTTTGTTATCATTAAGAATGTTAGTTTTTATATTTCTTTATTGTAATAGCATTTGGAAGTTAAAAGACTTATTCATTATACCCTTGCATATTAATTTAAAATTAAATCTGAATAAATGTGGGTATATCAAATTTTTTATTTTATATTATTATATTTTAAAGTTGCAATGTTCAGTAATTAACGTGAAACTACTTATTTACATTGTGAAGTATGGTTTTTTTTTTTAAATTGGTTTCCAACAGCCATACTTGATGCTAAGAAATTATACACAACATGTGGTAATTACCAGTTTACATACAACTCTGTTTAGATAGTGAAAAATTCGGGAGGTGCAAAAAAGTATCAAAAAACTAATAATGCAGCATGGCAATTCAATCTCAAATTACATGATCACAATATTTTGTACAAAGGTTTTCTTTGTTTAGTTAAACTAAACACGTGTTATTAATATTTTATTGCGCATATAAAATTGGCAAGGGCGGGTACCCTCCCTACGACAAAACATAATATAACACGTGAAAACTTAAGAACACTTTTCTTTCAAAGTAGGAAGTGTAGTAAAGTGATTTATTTACCTCGCAGTCAAGGCTGACATCCGAAACGGTCCCAGTTCCATTGTATAAGTCTACACTCAGCTGATCGAGAGTTAGTTTTTCTTCAAGGAACTTGCCGAGATACCGCTGTAGAAGATATCTACACGCTCTTTTCTTGATGCTCTCGGACCATGGCAGATACCACAACATCTTCAAAGCCTTGTAAAGATCATCACACTAGAATTTTTGCTTTTGTGCGTAATGACTATTGCGATTTGCGTGTGATTGACTTGTGAACGTAAATAAACATCACGTTTCTTTTCACGTTATCGTTTAGAACTGTCAATTCATATTTATATTTTTTACCATATTAATTCACTTTGCTAAAATATTACCTAATCAATTTTTTTTTTACAAATTATGCGCAACTTTCACGGACAATGCCTTGGAAGAAAAGGGTAGAATATTATAAAATTTTTGTAATGTAAGGTAGCAATGGAACGACACTACGTTCTA